TGTGTCACAGTCTTTTGGGTATATCCCCAAGAGTGGTATTGCTGGATCAAATGGTAGATCAATGTTTAGTTTTTTAAGTAGCCTCCAAATTTTTTTCCAGAGTGGTTGTACTAGTTTACATTCCCACCAGCAGTGTAAGAGGGTTCCTTTTTCCCTGCATCCTCACCTATTGTTGGTGGTGTTGCTAATGATGGCTATTCTAACAGGGGTGAAGTGGAATCTTAGTGTGAAATTCATGGGATTCTTAAAGGGCAGTGCAGGGCCTCAGGTTACAAGGAATGTGTTAGTTGTTAATAGGTGAGCCAGTGCTGGGTTAGAGACCTGAGGTTGTTTAGATCGGAGCAGCAAGGGAGGTCTGCTTTGGAAAGTTTGTTTACAGGAGACAAAGGAAGGCAATAATGTGCAGTTATCTCTACATGGGGCCTTTTTGTCTTAGCCCTGGACTCATTTTATGGCTTAACTAGCAATTTCTCATGTCGTACAGCCTGCTTTGAGACAATCTTCCTGTTCACAAGTTGCACAGAGACAGCTCCTTCCCTCACCCAGGAGGCTCAGGGAAGGCAGACAGAAGAGACCAGGCAGAAGTCAGTTTTTACTCCCTATTCCCACCCCCATCTGCTAAGTGGGTGATTTCCTGTAAAAGTTTTCCACAAGGTAGTAACCACTGAGTGAGGTATATTTGTGAGCCATGTTTCAGATTCTTAGACTTCATTTGTCCCTTGCTGTATGTTGAGCACTTTATGAAGCTGCTGTCTTTCTCCATACTGCAAACCATGCAGTATGGCCTCAGAGGTTTCATAAAACACAGGACAGGCCATTAGAATCACTCTGTTAAGAGCCAAGTCTTTGAACTTCACTTCCTTGGGCACACAGTGGAGGGACCTGAGCACTAAGATGGATGAGAGGCTCTTGCGGGATGGTGCTGAGCTCAGTGTCTAAGACTTCTCTGTCACAAGGCCCTTGCCCCAGGTGCATCAACTGTCCTGATGGATGAATTGGGCAAGGGTAAACCAACTCCCATTTCTTTATGACTCTAATACATAGCTCTTTTGTGCTAATGTTGTTGGCTTCCGCCTTTTCCAGACCACAGCATGACAGACCCATTTTAACTTTGACCTTGCTACATAGTTCACATGATTAACTGCAATCTCATTGTGTCATGCAGCACTTGCACCAAAGATGAAAAATTCCATTAGCTCATCCTGGTTCTCCTGCAGCCTTTATCAGCCTACTGACCTAACCAGAGGATGAAACTGGAATGAGAGAGAGATGAGATGAGAGAGGATAAGAAAAAGAGAGTGCGCAAGCACGTGCTTTCCTCATTACCGTGAAGACAGTGCCTGTGTGTGAGATAGGGATAGGGAAAGAAGGTTGTTTTCTAATTAGTTTTTCTGAGTGTTTTTTTTTAACATTTTTATTAAATTTGCTTAATTATGCTGTTTTAGGTTCACAGCAAAACTGAGTTATATATACCCTTTTGTCTATTCCCCACCCCACAATCTCTCATTATTAACAGCCCCTGCTAGAGTGGATGGTACATTTGTTACAATCAGTGAATCTAAGTTGATGCATGTTGGCCACCCAAAGTCCAAAGCTTTCATTGGAGTTCATTTTTGGTATTGCATATTCTGTGAGTTTAGGCAAATGTGAAATGACACGTATGATGTAGGCCATGCTAGTTTTAAAAAGAAAAGTAGAAGACAGAGAGGTGAAAGTGAAATAATTTTTATGGGAGTTTTTGCTTTTGTTTGGCAGTACTGGGACATGAGCTCAGGGCTTCACACTTGTAGGCAGGCACTCTTCCACTTGAGCCACACCTCTAGGCTGAAATAATTTTTAAATAGACAAAAAAATAACAGCCTTAAAGGTTCATGTCACCACTTGGGCTCAGATACCCACAGTTATCCACAAGATTTCCTGACACTTCCAGTCTGGAGGGACCCAGGAAATCCAGTTCACACGAGAAAACCCTTGGGTTTAACAGCAAGAAGCTGCCTTTCTTTTTTTTTAGTTTTTTTGGTGGTTCTGGGACTTGAACTCAGGACCTCATGCTTATTAGGCAGGAGCTCTACTACTTGAGCCATTCCACCAGCCCCTAAGAACCTGCCTTTCAAGACCTGATATTTCGCAGATGAATTTCCATCTATCCCATTAAGCATGAAAACCTGACTTTTTCCACACTGGAAGACCACTAGAATATAAATTTCTATTGAATTCAGCAAGTTTTAGTTAACTTTCTTGCAGCACCCTCACATTGACCAAGGAAAATCCACACATTACAGATGAATTTATCAGTGTGGCTTGTTTATCTCTGAGAGCAATAAAAAATGAGATCATCCTTAGGTGCATTTGCTATTGTAATGCAAACCACAGGTTGCTTAGTCAGTGATTTATAGCAACAACCCAAGCCACAAGGCAAAGGTTTGATGTAGATAATAATATACCTCAGTATGAGTCACTGATGTACTCTTCAGATTTTTTTTTAAATCCAAGAACATCAACCACCATCAAGGAATAAGGATTCTGTCTCTCACAATTTCTGGGGAGTGAATAACTAAACTGGAATGATTGTATCCCATTAACAAAAGCCCTTGAGAACACAGAATGGCTGGTTCAGCCGTAAATGCTACATCCATCAGCAAGTGTGCAGTGATCCAAGAGCTGTCTCACAAAGGCCAGGCACATCCTAAGAGCACATGGTGCTACTTTCTAAATGTCTTCCTCATATGTCTGGTGATAGTAAAAGTATGCCTCATAGATACCCTATTAAATTACCTTGCGGCAGATGTGGTGGTGCCCATCTACAATCCCAGCTACTCAGGAGGATCTCATTCCAAGCCTGGCTGGAGCAAAAAACAAGACCTTATCTGACAAATAACTAATGCAAAAAGGCCTGGAGGCATGCTATTGTAAAACTTTGAGTTTGATACCCAGTACTGCCAAAGATAAAAAAATGACCCAAAGATTTTACTATTAAAATAATGCAGTACTAAACAAGTTGATCAAAATGTTTTGCCATAAATTGATTGCTTTGAGGCTAAGTTGATGGTTTGATTACTTGGTTCATTGATACATGGACACATAGAATGTTTTCTAGAATATGCAAAGGATGAAAGAGTCTTTTGCAGACAATTTGTTCTTACTGTTCATCTGTTTTTCTGGGGTGCTAGGATTAAATCTGGGTCTTCACACATGCTAGATAAGGCCCCACCACTGAGCTACATCCGAGCCCTTTTTAATCTTCAATAACACAATGAAGCAAGCCTTTAAAGCACCAAAAACAAGTGATGGTAATGCTGAACCAAATTAAGTTTATTCTTCAAACTATTCATGAAAAATGGTAAGAAGTTCAGTATTTATGAAAGTGTATTTCCATGTAGTTGTTTTATATGTAAGTATTATGCTAAGTGAAAATTCGTTTCATTTAATTTATTTTTTTTGAGACAGGGTCTCAATATGTAGTCCATGCTAGCCTTGAACTCTCAATCCTTGGCTTCATTTAATCTTTAGTTGTGTGTGATGTTATATACTCAAGGTATTTCTTATACTTGCAAATAATGGCAAGTATTTTCTTAGTTTTCTTATTTTTAATTCTACAAGTTAGGGTATTCTTATTGCTTAGGAATAATGAGGTCTGACTTTGAATTTGATTGAACATTCTCCAAAGTGATTAGGAAAATAATTTGGGGCCGGGTGCCAGTGGCTCACACCTGTAATCCTTGCTACTCAGGAGGCAGAGATCAGAAGGATTACGGTTTGAAGCCAGCCTGGCAGATAGTTGGCAAGACCCTATCTCAAAAAAAAGCCATCACAAAAAAGGGCTGGTTGTAGAGAACATACAGCCTCTTTTAACAAGCTGCAAAGTTTATCTGAACTTTGAGTGTAATGCAATTTAGAATCAGTGAGCTACCAGCCTTCTGGACTATAGATAAACAGTTGTCGCCAACACCAGAACACTGTATGGACAGGACTGATGAGGTATGCAACCAATATGCTGTCTGGTCTGGTATGGCTACGCTTATGCTAAGACGTGATGATGTCTAGAGCAGTGCATTGGGGCCCCCACTTTTGGGTGTAACCAGTCAGCAGAGGACTAAATGACATAGGGGGGGAACACCCTGGAGGATAAAATCACATAAAAAGGACACCTGCTGAGGGTACAGCAGAGTGCATTCTCCAATGTACTGCAAGACGCTCACAAAAGGGACTCTCCTGCATGCGTTTCTCCTTGCCAGAGGAACTATCTTTCTCCCAAGTTAGAGAGGTCCTGCCTTGTGGTAGCTCACCCTCCCCGAGCAGATTGAGCTCCCGGCCCTAATGAGCTGACTGCTTACAGCTAGCCAGACTCCCCTGTGGAGCGCTGGCTCTGCCTGCCAACACTTGCTTGGTGAGGTTCCTTCCTGGAGCACAAGCCTTGCCTGCCACCGTGCCCTGTGAGGCGACTGACCGTGTGCCATGATTGCCTCTTGGACCTTGTAAGTGTGCATTTGAAGTGTGAATAAATGTTGTTGCATTGACTCTAGTGTCTGAGTGGTCTTTGAGGGGCATTGTTGTAGTTTTGTTGCCTCTACCCTAAGTCTGCCTTGGGCCATACCCCAGTCCCACCATAGGGATATTGTCTGGGTTCAGGACATTGCTAACTCCCCCTAGAGGGGAGAAGGACAAAGTCCTGTTCAAGGCAGCTGGCGGAGTGGCTCAAGGTGTAGGCCCTGAGTTCAAGTCCCAGTACTGAAAGAAGGAAATAATTTGGAACATTATGTAAACTTGAAGATCTACAGTTTTTCACAAGACTATACCAATCAAAATATGTTTACTCTACTGAGGAAATTTAGCTCAGCATTATGATAAGCACAGAAGACATATTTGGGGCAATTTTACAGTTTTACCTTTTGTATTTAAATCTCTTTCATAAAATGTCCACATTTGCTTGTGGTGTTTTTGTATCTTAATTTATTGGCTGCATATTAAAACATGAACGAGAATGACATTTTTTTTAACAGTTGTCTGTGCTGTGAATGCCCTCGCACACCATGTGCTTCACAAGGACCTCAGGGACATTGTCAGTGACTTCAGAGGCTTCTACAGGCAGCTCACAAGTGATGGGCAACTCAGATGGGTAAGCAACCTATTTTGTAAGAAGCTTTTATAGATAACATTACTAAGGTCTGAGATGTCCTTTGATTATAATGAATGTGAAAATCAGAGATGGATTTACAATTTTAAAGTACATTTTATTCACATAAAATTAGGACTTAAGCTGTTTTGAACACCAGTATTTTAAGGTGATCAGTTCCTTTTTGTAAGACTTCACCCTGGATGCATTTGAATCATGAGATCTCTGCCCTTAATGCACCTCATCTCTCACTCCCTAGAATGGAAAAAGTGGCCTAGAGGAAAAAGGACTGAGTGGGAGAGAGAAGAGTTGTGATGGATTTGTGAGAGGAGGTCATGAAGGAAGTAAATAAAATAGAAGGGCAAAGTTCCAAAGCTAGAAGGCCGTAGCACCAGTATGTGTATAGATCAGTTTATTAGTCAACTTTCCATCACTATGACAAAATACTTGAGACAATCAATTTAAAAGAAGGAAAAATTTATTTTGGCTCATGATTTCATGGTTGCTTGGCCCAGTCACTTTGGGCAGAACATCATGGCAGGGGAACCATGTGATGGAAAACACTGCTTACCTCAAGCAACCAGAAAGCAAAGAGAGAGGGGAAGGAGCCAGGGCCCCAATATCACCTTCAAGAGTATGCCCCTTTTGTGAATGCAAAGCCCTGAGTTCAAACTCCAGTCTCTCAAAAAAAGAAAAAAAAAAACTTTTGCTGGGTGCCAGTGGCTCACGCCTCTAATCCTAGCTACTCAGGAGGCAGAGATCAGGAGGATCACAATTCAAAGCCAGCCCAGACAAATAGTTCACAAGACCCTATCTGGAAAAAACCCTTCACACATAAAAAAAAGGGCTGGTGGAGTGGCTTCAGGTGTAGGCCCTAAGTTCAAACCCCAGTACTACAAAACAAAATTAAAAAAAGAGCATGCCCCCAGTGAATTCCTTCCACTAGGTCCCGCCTCCTAATGTTTCCACCACCTCCCAATAGTGCCACAGAGACTTTGGGGGCACTCCAGATCCAAACTATAATAGTCAATATTTGAATCATAACATCCAAGCATGAAAGAATGAAAGTCTAGAAAAAGAGTTCTAACATAATAAGATAAATCCAGGAATCTAGACTTTGCCCTTATCTCCTGATGCCAGGTTTGTCTTTTCCTAACTCTTCTGAGTTTCTCCTCCTTGCATAAAGACAGGTTCAGGAGAATATACTTTCCACATTGTCTTGGATTTTAGTTTTGACTTTATACAAAGCAACTTAAGCTTGCCTTGAAAGATACCTCCTTGAAGAAACTCCTACTGGCTAGGTACCAGTGGCTCATGCCTATAATCTTAGCTACTCACAAGGCAGAGATCAGGTGGATCAAGGTTTGAAGCCAGCCCCAAGGAAATAGTTTGAGAGACCCTATCTCCAAAATACCCAACACAAAAGGGACTGGCAAGGGAGAGGGAGGGGGCAGGGGGCAGGGGGGAGAAATGGCCCAAACAATGTATGCACATATGAATAAATGAAAAAATGAAAAAAAAAAAAAAAAGGACTGGCAGAGTGACTCAAGTGATAGAGTGCCTGCCTACCAAGTGTGAGGCCCTGAGTTCAACCCCAGTACCACCAAAAAAAAAAAGAAAATTCCTACTGGCTGAGTTTGAGACAATTTGCACATCAGAATAAATATAATAATAATGACTTATAAGCCACTGAATGAAATAGGAATCTTTAAGTTTACTCAGATAATAAATAAGGAATATGCCATCATTACAGTAGAATGCAAACTAATGAATATAAGACAAATTGACATTAGGAAATCACCATATTTCAGCCATCATAGCTATAGTTAATTGAGCCAAGTCATCAATGGATGATAAAAATTTGGGGGCAAAAATAATCTTCTTACTTGAAAAGGGAAAATGGTGACTTCATAGTGGACTAACCAAAATGGGCAGTAACTTAACCAAATGGTATAAATTAATAAACCTAACAATAAAACAAAATGCCATCATCACTTATGCAGTATATATGTCAAAACATGTATAACCTGAATCTAATTTTTTTTTTCTTTTGGGTGGGACTGGGGTTTGAACTCAGGACTTCTCACTTGCAAAGCAGGCGTTCTACTGCTTGAACCATACCAGCAGTCCATTTTGCTCTAGTTATTTTGGAAATGGTGGTCTTGCACTATTTCTGAGCTGGCCTCGAACTACAGTCTTCCTGATCTCAGTTTCCTAAGTAGCTAGGATTATAGGCATGTGCCACTAGCACCTGACTCTGAATCTAATCCTAAAGGAACTTCAGAGCAGCCCATGAGGGATTCTGGACCTGTCAACTGGCCCATACTCTAAAAATGTCAGTGTCATTAAAAGAAGAAAAATCACTCTACATAAAAAGAGACTAGAGACATGACTACTAAATGCAGTGTGGTCCTGGATTGGGTATGGATCAGGGCAAAATAAAGCACATTATTGGGGACATTAGTGATATTCAATTATGGTCTGCCATTTAGATAATAGTATTCTATGAGTATGGTCCTACATAACTGTGGTTATGTAAGACAATGTTCTTGTTTGTAAGAACTATGCACCAAAGTATCTGTGGGTAAAAGAGAATGATATCTGCAACGTTGCTTTCAAATAGTTTGGAAAAAAAAGATGTGTGCAAGTGTATACCACATGGAAGAGGAGTTTTTTTCCTCCTATTTTTGCAATTTTATGTAGTTGTTAAACTGTTTTGTTTTTTTGGTTTTTGCTTTTTTAACTTAACCTTTAGGTGAGTTTCCACTGCTGTCTTTAAATTCTCAAAATGTGTGCATGGCTAGAAGACCTAAGTGTCTCACATCTAAGGCATGCTGTTGTGCTCTGCTTCCCAACCAGATTGGTCCAGAGAAAGGTGTGGTGCACCTGGCCACGGCAGCCATTCTGAATGCGCTGTGGGACCTGTGGGCAAAGCAGGAGGGGAAGGTAACTCATCTCAGAAACACATCTGTGGCTCTGTGGCACAGGAGGACATGGACTATCTCTTCCAGCAGCCCTATGAAGATCAAAGACAAATGTATCACAGGTCCCCAAAAGGAAATAGAGAGACTTGTTTTGATTCTTTTGTACTCTGAAAGATTAGGAAACTGTAGGGACAGTTTAGAAAGAGTGAGGAAGAGGGGAAGGGAAACAAAGGGGAAGGGTTAGGAGGCAGCAGGAGGCACAGGCAGCATTCAAGAAGGTGGGAGGGTGTGCCGGACAGCTGATAGTGGGAATTTGCCACTAGTGCATTTACCTTTAGGATGAAAATGGGCACTTTATGCATATGTTTTACAAATCTTACCTTTTTTTTTTCAAGCCTCTGTGGAAGTTACTTGTGGACATGGTAAGTAGGTTCTTTAATATTATAATAGTTTCTAAATGAATTGGACCTCATAGACTACTTGTCTTTTGATAATAAATATATTCAGAATTGTCTTTTGCTCACTGATGATAAAAACAAAAAAAACCCAGTAAAATATAATACCTCTTTTTTTTTTGTGGTGCTAGGGATGGAACCCAGGGCAGCACTCTTCCTCTGAGCTACGTTGCCAGCCCATAATACTTCTTTTCTGCTATTTGAATTAACTCTTAGATGTGCTTATGCAAGCAAAGTGATATGATGGGAGGTAGTGAGTTCAGGTGCTGGCTTCCTACTGAGGATCTCTAACATGAAATGCAATCTCTCTAAGCCTCTACTGCCTGCCTATGAGAAGAGGATCATCAGACCTCTAGGAACCTCACAGAATTAGTCTAAAGACCACATGAGAAATGATCTACATTAACTCTGAAAAGCCAGATGGTATTGCTAAGACATTCTGCAGTCTCTCTGACTCCAAAAGCAAGATCAGGCTAAGGCAGTCTCCACTGTGGAGATCTAGCAGGGTCAGAGCTTAACACCAAATTCTAAAGATGTGCACTTGGCTGCTTTCTTTCTCCTTGACCTATTTATGACAGGAATGAGCACCTGGCTGCTAAAGAAGAAAAAACTGGGCAAGTTAAAGGGAGTAAACAACAGACCCAGACAGACCTGGCTTTGAGTCCGGGCTTCACTATTACCTAGCTGAGTATCTTGAGTGCATTGCTTACCCACGATGAGCAGCAGCTGCCTCTGGGTGATGCCTGGTTGTCCACAAATGAAGGCCTTTGTCACTACTTGGTGGTGAAACTAAGGAAAAGCAAGAATACTATGGCCTTGAAGACTGTTGGGCTAGGAGTCCTTGCTCCTCTACTGGGGCAGGTAAAAACAGGAGGCTCTTACATCTTTTCGCCAGCAGGGTGACTTGGGGACCATCAAAAAGGGAAGGATGTGGGAAGGTCAGCCTTTCATAGTGGAGTAGTTGGTGGCCACTGAAACAGAAATATTTGAGGGCCACCAGAAAGGTGCATAAGGTCTCACCTGAGGACTTTGTCTTTTAGTTCATGTTCCCTGTCTCAATACCACTTTTCCTCAAAGAAGCAGTCTCAGGGTTGAAAGAGTTTTTAAATTTTGAACAGTTTTAGCAGATGGGAATGGAGCTTCTGGTTGTTTACCCATGACACCCCTGCCAGGGTAAGGAGAGATCCCAGGGTGAGGCTTAGCTAATGTGGCCAGAGCAGGATTAGGAGAGCAGAGCCGGAGTGTAACTGGGAGGGTTGATGCATTCCTGTTCCATCAGTCTTCCTGGCAGTGAAGTGAAATGTCCCCTCTCCAGGAGAGCAGATTGCCACAGTTGTGCTTGCTGCAGGTCAGTGGTGGCCTGGCTCTGAGTGCAGCCTTCTCTCCTCTGCCCCAGCTACTCCAGGACAGACCTCGTCTCCTCACAGTTCATTAAAGGGTCGCAGGAAGCAGACATCCAGGGAGTCACCAGGTGTCATTTACTGCCCTGTGCTGAGTGTTTTCCCTGTGCTAAGCCCTCTGGTGGGGAAGCCATGTTAGTTGGAAAGAATGGACCAGATGCAGGGAATAAAGTCAGGACACGAGGGTCTGAGGGCTTGTCACAGTTGGAATGACTCCAACTAAGGAATAACAGGACCAAACAATCTCACACAAATCCCAAAATCCCCTTCCTGGAAAGGATGAACCCCAGGGATCAGTATAAGTAGCATCTTTACCCAGACCCGCACATCTGACTGATGGTCTAACTGCTTAGCACAGAGAATCTGGGAGCACGATGTGCACCCCTAGAGGGCAGGGTTCTTCAAAAGTGGAAAGATTAGAAACATAATCTGCTCATGAATTGATCCAGGCCTTTCTCCTGTCTGGCTGCCAGGATCCCAGGACGCTGTCATCTTGCATTGATTTCAGATACATCACTGACGTCCTGACGGAGGAGGAGGCCTACGGTAAGTCCTGTATGAGCCAGGAGCTGGAAGCTTCCTGGCACTTAATAAGTGTACGAATAGCAGCCACAGGTTCTGCTGTCTAGAGTGACAAGTTTTGTTTTGTTTTTTTTTTTCAGAAATACTGCAGAACGGTCAAGTTGGTAAAAAAGAAAGAGGTGGGTTGTAAGAAATTTTCCTTCCCTGTTTGTGTTATCGCTTTCCACTTTTGAAGAACCCTATCCTCTAGGGGTGTACATCGTGCTCCCAGATTCTCTGTGCTAAGCAGTTAGACCACCAGTCAGATGTGCGGGTCTGGGTAAAGATGCCATCTGGCAGTAGGGCTCACTCAGCCTCTTGTCATAGGAGGTGTGGCTTTAGGACTGCACTATGAGATGGGAGGCCCTTGAGTGGTGGGGCATTCATGATCACCTACGCCTGGCACCCCAGAGACTGGATGAGTGGTAGAGTACATGTGAAGGCCAACCAGGAAAAGAGCTGGAATTTCTATGCTGTGTGGGCAACAGCTTAGCTCTAGCAATTCTAATTGCTAGGTTCCCTAGAAGGTGCCAAATGTTGACAAGTGCTTTGTTTTCCAGAAGAGCAAATACTGACTCATGGCTACCCTGCCTACACCACGTCGTGCGCCTGGCTGGGGTACTCAGACGACACACTGCGGCAGGTCTGCTTTTTAACCTGGCTTTTGCAAACAGGCCAAAATGAGAAGAACAGGCCAGTTTTCCTTCTGTACTCACACCATGATCATTATCCATCACTTTTGATGCCAGAAGTGCAGCAGGGGAGGGCAGTTACCACACCCACCATCTCTCCAGGTTCTGTGGACACCAACTGTATGTCTCACGATTTAACTCAATTCTGACGCCATCTAACTGGGAGTCAGAGCAGACTCCACAGGTTAAGGGCTCAATATCACAGGACTGCCCACTTCAGATGCCAGTCGTGCAAGTCCAGGCTGTGACCTGGGCTTCTGACCAACTGTCTAGAAAACTAGGTTTCCACAACAAACCTCCTTGAGTTGTATCATTTGCTAGAATGGCTCACAGAATTCAGGGAAATATTTACGTAGTTTACCAGTTATTATAAGGGATATAACTCAGGAACAGCCAGGTCTACATGGATGCATAGAACCAGGTGTGGTGAGCATGTTCACCAACCCTAAAGCTCCCTGGACTCTGTCCTTTTGAGTTATTACAGAGGACTCATTAACAAGCACATTAATTATGTCACTGACTATTAGTAATCAGCTCAATCTTCAGCCCTCCTCTCCTCTCTAGAGGTCTAAAAGTGGGTCTGAGAGTTCCAACTACTTAATCATGGCTTGGTCTTCTGGTGACCCTGAAGGGGTCCTCTTCAGGGTCATTTTATTGTCATACAAAAGACACTTATCACTCAGGAGAATCTAGGAATTCTAGGAGCTGTGTGCTAGGAAATGAAGTGGGGAATAGTGGGGGAGGGGTAGATACAAAGAATATCTTACATCACACAGGCTTTGTATTCCTGGTTTTCTGGGAGATATTTACTGTTTTCCTTTCAGAATGGGTTCCAAGGCCTCTTTCTGAAAGCACTTACACAGTAAGAGTAAAGCCATTTACATCCTGGACACTGAGGCTCTGACTTACTGAGTCCCATATTGGGCTCTGGGAGGTGACAGCCTAATATTTGAGTTCCAGGCAGAGGCAAGTCACCTAACCATGCTGAACCTCAGCTTTCTCTAAAATAGGGAAATAATACTTCATATCTCATAGTGTGGTTTCAAGGCTTTGATCAAAGCTGTAGATTATCATACCACAGCTGGGACATGGCATGCAGTTAGCGCATGGTTCTTTCTCATTATATTGTTTTTTTGTTTTTTTTTTTTTTACCCAGGGCCTTACATGTGCCAAGCAAGCATTGTACCACTGAGCTGTACCCCCAGCCCTTCTTTCTCATCATACCGTACTCACGTAGAGCCACGAGAAAGGAGACAGAGACAGAAACAGAAATAGAGACAGAGGCTATCTTCCACTTGTTACTTTTATATCCATTACTTCTGTGGGTGCCACAGAAAATCTTAGCTTTAAAAAGAGGGACATTCATGCCATTTTCTCCTTCCAGAAGTGTTGTGACAATTAATAAAATGGTTCCCATAGAGATGAAGAAAGATAGCCATACTGTAGAAAGAGTGATGCTCTGTTGGCCAAGCTGTTTCTGCTCTTAATTTCAATAACACATGGTTATTCCCCTGCTTTATGCTAGGACTGTATATAATGTTTGTAAAATCCATATCAGAAACAACTGAGGTACCATCAGGCCAGAGTTGCTCAGTGCATTTTACCATGTCTGTAATGATAAGTGTGCCCCTTTTCCCACAGCTCTGCACAGCGGCACTGAAGGATGGCTGGACCAGGTAAGTTATTTGTGTGATGGTGGCCTTGACCTTCCTGGTGAGCAATATGAAGAGACTCAGTCAGTGGAGAGGAGCAAGGGATGAAGTGGCATCAGCAAGGCCAGGAGCAGTCTGGCATGTAGGGATGCAGATATTTCAACTAAGCCAGGCGCTTTCTACAAAGATAAGATGTGAGTCCTACTTAGAATCCTAAAATAACACAGAGGAAAGAGACCTTGGAGAGCATCACTTCATCTAGAATAGAAATCCGTTGTTTATGATCAGTAACAAGCATTGATTCAGCACATGGTACAAACACCTCCAGATCCTAACTTTAAGAAACACTTTTCCATTGTTTCTGGGCTATAAGTTCATTTATATTTCATTTTTGTGGGACTGGGAGTTTGAACTCTGGGCTTCACACTTGCAAAGCAGGTATTCTACCACTTGAGCCACAACTCCAGTCATTTTGCTCCCGGATTATTTTAGAGATGGGGTCTCACGAACTATTTGCCCAAGCTGGCCTTGGTCCTCTGCATCTCAGTCTCCCAAGTAGCTAGGATTACAGGTGTGAGCCACTGCCGCCTGGCCTCTAAGTTCAATATTGCTTCTATATAACTTCCAGCCACTGGTCCCTGTTCTTCTCCATGGAGTTTCTAGAAGTCATGTCATCCTCCCCGACTGGAGTGACTTCCCTTCCCTCCCCCAGGCCACCTTCTGTCCACTGTCTGCACTTCTCCCTCTGTCCCCTGTATGTGGATATGGACCCATTGGTATCCCAGACTCTTCCGCTGGATGAACTGTGGTGGTCGGTGACCCTGAATCCTGATGCAATACAGGACCCCGAGGGACCATATTGTCTCTTAACCCAGCCACTCATGAATCCATCCATGAGTACAGCACTTTTTGTCTGTGATATGTCACCAGGCATCCTTATTGCAGGAGTTTGCTAGCTGAGATACGGGACTCCTGAGGCAATTAGCAGGAAGCAGCGTTTTATTGTGCCAGCACAGACTCAGTGGACTCCTGTCCAAAGGCTGAGCCCTGAGAACTCACTTTATATACCCTTGCAAGCAGGTTACAGAAGCAAAAAGCAAGGTCTATTCCATATATGGTTATATTTAATTTTATTAGCTACTTTGCCCTAGTGCTATGTGACTTTCCCCTCCCTGGTGCTACGTGACCTTCCTCATGTTCAGATTTCTCAGGTTTTATCTTTCTGCTATTCCATCCCTATCTCCCTGCTACTTTCTCAGGACTCAGGCCTAGTCTGTTTCCTTCTGATCCTCCTCTCTGCTACATCCTCCCTGACTTGTAATTGGTCTGGCCACTTACCCTGCTGCTCCTCAAAGTGTGGGTTGTGGAGCAGCAGTGTCACTGTCAGAGCTTACCAGAAATGCAGGCTCCGGTCTGTCCTTGGACCTGCTGCCTCAGTCCCTGCATTGTAACGAGCCCTAAGTGATTCACAGGCACACCCAAGTTTGAGAGCCCCTGAATTCTTGCTAACTTTTCTGCTAAATAAAGGTTTGAGGAGTGAGAACATGAAAGGGCAGCATGCAGCAGTGGAAGGAGGCATTGGCATCTGATAGAATTGGAATCCAGTTTACCTTTCTCCCTCATCCCCTGCAAGCACCCACTGTGCAATCCTGACCAAATCGCTCAACCTCTCTGAGCTGCATTTTCTATGAAATGGAAATAATAGTAACTCATGATTCTCCTTGAAGTTGCCATATCTGACAAGGTCCAGCACAGGGTGGATTTGGAGCAAGTGCTCAGTAACTGCTGGCTTTCTGCTTTCACCCAAACCCCAGAAGCTGGACAGTCAAATCTGGTGAGTCTGGAAGGCTCCAGAAAGACTTTGGGGAGACTGGTATGTAGAGGCTGTGCCCAGACCTCTCCTTTGAGCACCATAGATCATGTAGTTGAAGCTCCTGCCTGGTGGAGAAATGTCTTTGGGGGCTTAGTGCTGTGTGTGGGAAAGTAGGTGCTTGCATGCATGTGGCTCTCTTCAGCCAAGCCAGAGCTCTTCAGAGGTGGAGAGGTCAGGCATCTAGGAGCAGAGGGAGGGCTCCAGCAGGCCCAGACACTTGTCTGCAGTGTCAGCTGGTAGCTGTTGCTGCTCCCAGTTGCAGCCTTGACACCAGCTGTGCTGGGGAGGGTCTAGCAAGGGAGTGAGTGGATCCAGACACCCCACCCACGGTGTCCCCTCCTCCACATCAGTGTCCACACTTGAGCTAACAACACTCTCTTCTGGAGGCAGAGTCACAGGGAACATACGTAGAGGCCCATGTCTACATAGTTGGACATGAACACAGATTGGGAGTTTTCTGTGCGTGGCCGGATGTTGGATGAGGAGACCTCTGCAGGGGCACACTCTGCTGCCTCTCAGTATGTGACCTAGTCCCTTCCCTCCCTAACCCTCAGGCCCTGCACCATAGGGAACAAACCAGCCCTGTGGCCTTCTCTGGGCCATCAAGCACCGGAACTTTCTAAATCAGACTCTCTGAACTCAATATATAGCAGGGTAGCTCACTTAGCCATGCCTCACCAGTCCTGCTCTCCTCTGGGCCCTGCTCCCCTCTGTGGCCTTTTTGTTCATTCCTTTCATATTTGTTTTTCATCCTTTTTCACAGAAAGAGCTGTTAACCATAGTAAACTCAGTTTAATAAATCCTGTATTAACCCGTTTCAGTTACCTGGGTCAGCAGAAAATTGAGGGACATTGCCCTGATACTGAGTAAAGAGATGCAGTTTGCAGGTGACCTGCAATCAGGTGACCTGTCTAAAGATCAAATGAGAAAGAGCATGACATTATTGGGGTGGCCTGTGAATTACTGACAGAGATGGAGCTTCTGCAGAAAATCCAAGTGTGTTTGCCAAGTCAGAGAACAGATGTAAACTAATCGACCAAATGAATTTATAGGTTTAAAGTGAAGGTTGGGGCTGACCTTCAGGATGACATGCGTAGATGCCGCCTCATCAGAGATATGATTGGACCAGAGAAGATTTTGGTAAATAGTCTCTCACAACCACTGAGAAGTGGCAGCCTTGCATGAAGTCTTTTTTTGTTGGTGATGGTGGTTTCTTTTTTCTTTTCTTTTCTCTTCAGTTCTGGGGATCAAACAAAGGGCATCATGCACGTTAGACAAGTGCTATACCACTGAGGTACATCCTCCAGCCTGAGGTCTTTGTCCAAAGCCAAAATGCAACTTGTTTCAAGCAAGGATTAAAAATTGGAAATTTTAAAATTTATTTTCAGAGAAAGTATGGCCCTGTAGTTTTACAGTAGTGAACTTAAAAAACAAACTGTGGGGCTGGTAGTTTTTAGTTTTTTAATTCTGCAGAACTCACTAAGCTAGATCAGAGTGAAGTATCTAGTCCTTCTTGCTAACTTGGATAAACCTAAACAAATAGGTCTCCTATTGGTTCCCTGGTGTGTCAATCATTAACCCCATAAATGGCTCTTCAGGAGGTGGGTTTCAGGGAACCATTAGTGAAGAAGTATTGAAACTTTGAGATAAATATAAGGATTAATGATTTCTGACTATATATTCTCGAAATAGTTACTATGTGTAAAATATTTTCATTAAAGTCACAACAGATGTTTTTATGAAGTTTTTAAAATGAGGCTTGTTTCATAAGTTAAAATTCAAGGTTGGAGTCCTTAATGTAGGATCAGAAGTTCCATTATTTATATATGAAGTAATGCTTCTTTTGTTTCATGAGGTCATCCTCATCCAAATAATTTATGATAAAAATTGATTCTGAGTCTACCATCCTCTGGTTTTCTGTATCCTTTGAGGGGGCTCTTACCACTTAGCACAGTCTTTAGGCACTCATTTCTTGTCTGTCTTTTCCAAGTGTGATACAATGATAGAGGGGTGGAGAGTCCTCTCTCAAGCTCTGCACACCTAGCACCTGACTTCCAGGTAAGATAGCAGCATGCAGAAAGCCAGGGCCTGAACTCATCATTGATCAGACTTACCATTCTTGAGCATGTTCCTTCTCCAAGTGTCACTTTGCTTATTTGTGAGATGGAGTCACATGAGCTGCTTTATAGGTTGCGGTAAGTATCAAATGGAACAATATTCACTGAGTGCCTGGTAGAACAGGTGCTTCATTAGTAGTAATTTATTAATGTGCCAGACACACGGAGGGCAATAGTCAGTAAGTGTCCACTGAACAAACTATGTATGATTCAGAATGTGACAAAATGGTTCCAACCAACAGAATTAACACTATAAGACATATTATCTAGTGTGGTAGACATCCAAATGCAGACAGGGCCTCGTGATCCAGGGTGAGTGAGCATTTCTCCTGGCTTGGCCCAGCTTCCAGATGTCACAGTGATTCCATGAACCCATTGCATATCCTCCAAAGGACACCATATGGAGTCAGAGTCCCAGACTCAGTGGCTATGATTTGGTCCTTTGGTCAGGGCTATAGGCTGGGGCTTAGCAAAGGAAATGTCATAGAAATCTTACTCAACAGTCAATGGCTCTGAGTGTCAGCATTTCCCCCCTGGGAACTACAGCCCTGAAGCAAAGTGAGGGGTCTGTCCTTGCAGATGATGGACGCCAACCAGCGCTGGGACGTGCCTGAGGCAGTGGAGTGGACGTCAAAGCTGGCTGAATTCAAGCCATTGTGGATTGAGGAACCCACATCCCCTGATGACATCCTAGGGCATGCCGCCATTTCCAAGGTAGGAAAACTACTGCTTCTACTGTCTTGGCCATTTACTTTTTTGTTTAGTTTTCCAGAATGGTCATAACAGAGATTAAAATTCCATCACCTGTCTTTTACATTTCCTGATGAAGTGACTGAATTATAACATGGGACAAGTTCCTAACATCCTTTTATCCACTGTACTTACCCACCTTTGTTATAGAGAAAGTATATTGCAAAAGTTGAAAGGCTACCAGCATTCTGAAGATGAATAGACTTGGTTCCCATACTTTATAAATATAGAAATGCAACTGATAATTAAATATAGTCTCTTACGATGACTTGACATGAAGTTCCCACTTTATGATCTTCAGTAGTAATAGGCACAGCAGAAACAATACTGCAAATTTTGAATTTGGGTCTTTTCCTGAATTAGCCATATGCAATACAGTAGTCTCTCAGTGCTTGACCACAAGAGTGAGCCACCATTCCATCACCCCACCATTACAAGGGGGAAACAACTGTCACTCTACAGCGTGCTGTGCTGCTAAGCTGAAATGTTCCGTAGGTTGGGTATATTAAATGTGTCTTCTACTTAAGATCTGTTCAACTTACAATGGGTTTATCAGGACATAACCCCATTATAAGCCAAGAAGCATCTGTACTTTTTTCCACCCAGAATGAGACAAAAAAATGTACATTTCTTCTGGGTGACTCCAAAGAAAAGGGTTGCTTAGCTAATGTCAGGATCAGGCCACCCAAGAGAAAGTTGCCCGTCTGATCCACAGAGCTCCCAAGACAAGTGCACTCTAATTGGGGTCTGGCCTCCCTGCCATTAGGGTCAGGTTCTTCCTCTAAGAAATCTTGGTGGCTCCCATTGCTCAGGTTTACACCCTGATTACAAAGTCAGAATGCCAGTTGGTTAATTTGTAAGAACTGTAACTTCCAGGTTTTCATCCTCAGACCATAGCAAGCTCTGTAAGGAACCAAATTAAGCCAAAGCTGCAGGATGAGTGAGGAATTGGGGCAGGTACTAGTTGTGGAATTTTAATATGTGATAACATCCGACCATGATAGCCCAGCACAACCATTTCTCAGATGACAGACCTGCTTCTGAAGGCACCAGAGGTGTTGAGCCTTAAACTCCTCCTCCTCCTGGGTACAGGGAGGGCCAACTTTGCCTCTTGTACTTTCACCCCATCACCTCTTCCCCTGCACGCTACACTCTTTGGCTTCTAGTCAAGTCTTGCCTCCTGAAGAATCTTTCCTCCCCAGGCTGACTTTGTATAGCTGTACTTGCCCCTATTATGACTTGATCTTAAAACTTTTACTCTGATAGAGGAGTCTTAGTTACAAGTTCTAGGAGGAACACCTCCATCAACCTACATAAACACCCAGATCCTACTAGGGAGTGAGGGCGGAGGCTCAGGGGCCATTCTTCTCCATTTCTCTCACTAAATCACCATATAATCTGCCTTAGGTCTAATCCTCTCTAGAAGCTTCGTTTAAGGAATGTCCTCTTCCCACTTACAGCCTCACCAGAGAGGAAAATCTGGGATAAATGAAACAAAGATAAGTGAGCAGAGTGAGCCGCAGGCCGGGGCATTTAGTGCTGATGCAGTGGAAAGCTTATGGAGTGGAAGATAGGTGTAGATGGGGCCAGTGGCAGTGGCCTGGCAGAGAGCAAACCAGAGTTGACTCTGAGGAAGGCCATGCTGCAGGCAAGGGAACAGGAGTCTTACAGCCACCTCAGCCTTCTTTATTTAAAGATAGAACCCAAATCCTCCAAGGAATAGCTCCAAAATGGGCATCTCTAGGTGAAAGGTCATAGGTCAGTGAGACATTTCACCTGAGACCCACTTGCCTTTGCTCTTATGTTTTTGTGTGTGGTGCTAGAGATCAAATCCAGGGACTTGCACTTACATGCGTACTACCACTGAGCTACAGCCCAGCCCTTGGGATTTTTGAGACAGGGTCTTGCTTTGTAGGACAGGCTGGCTTTGAACTTGTGATCCTCCTACGTTCACCTTCCAAGTGCTGGGATTACAGACATGCACCACCACACCTGGCTCCTTAGAGTTCTTGAAGGGTTGCTGACCCCACTGAATGCCACAGTCTGGTACCACCTGACTTCTGCCCACCTGGAGAGTCTCCTTGGAAGCTCTTCTGGGCTTTGACCCACTGAGGTTTTGCCTGCATGGGGGAGGTTCAAGGAAGGTGGCTGGTGCGCAAGCAGGTCCATCCAGGTGGGGGCCAAAGGGAGACCCGAGAAGATGCAGGGCACACAAGGGGAGGCATTAGAGAGGCCAGTACTTGGGGCCCATTACTCAGAAGGACACAGCCAAGCAGCAGGTACTGCTGTGTGTTCTCAAAGGAACGAATGACACAGTGGTGGCTGGGAGGACAGACAAGGTGACTGGTGGCAACACATACAGTGGATTGGGATGGGTATGTGAAAGGTGGGAAACAGGCAGGAGAAAACTGAGGCAGGGATGAGAGCTGGTCTGTCATTTGGGGAAGGTGAAGGAAGCAGATTCAGGAAATACTGTCAAGGAGGAGACAAAACTTGGTCAGTGCTAGAAACACAGTCTTAAAATGGTAGTATGAGTAAGTCAAATGGCTTTCTCTCCTCATCACTCCTCCTCTTCTCCACCCCTCTTTTCTTTTGAGATTAAAAAAAAAACCAAGTGTACTTAAAATAGAAATTTCGGGAAGCATAAATTATTGTGTGAGAAAGCGCTTTATAGACCATCTGTTGAAACAGACTTTCTGTAATGAAGAAACCAAGGTTTTTATGGCTTATGTGTGGCTTCCCAACTCCAAGTTTCAGAGTCAGGACACCTGGCTTCTGAATTAAGGGATATTTCTGCTGAGAAGTTGGCTCAGTGATTGAGATTTCTCCTCTGGCTCTGGAATCAGCCTGGAGCTCAAACCCCACCTGTGCACTCTGTTTTGTGACCCAGGAATGGTTCTTACTAGTACACCACTTGCTCATCTGTAAAATGGGGATACAATGGCTCCTCTCCCACTGGGCTGTGACCAGGAATCACATCAGTGTCTTGCACCATGCCTGACAGAAAGAGCTCAGAACTTGTTAGCTCTTGGTGTCACTAAATAAAGGAAAATCAAGGATGCCTGGGGAGGGAACTGTGGAACCGCAATCCAGTGGAGGCTGAGGGAAGTAGGCTAGCACCCAGGTGCCAGCTGCATGACATAGCTACTCAGGGCCAGGTGAGAGGCCAGACAGAGCAGCAGGGGCATGGCCAGGTGAAGATTCCAGCACCTCATCAGGTAAAGAGTTCACCAGGAGAACAGTGGCCTCAGCCTTAACTGTAAAGTAGGATCTCAGCCACCACAGAGCTAGAAGGGAAAGGACTTTGGAATTGACAGAGGCATGGGAAGGTTCTAGAATAACCCTACAAGGGGTTATCAAGGAGACAGAAAAAAGGGAATAAAGAGAGTAATGGCCCACAAGAAGCAGTAAGTAGAGGTTGGACTCTGTGAGTTCACAAGGAGCCACTGCTGAGTGCCCATGTCCTCCCAGTTACACCTCCCATGTAGCCCCTAGAGTGGGGGAGGGGCCAGGCTACTGCAGAGGAAGTCTGCAGAGCAATGGTCAGGAAGGGAGCGATGGCAGCATGTGAGCAGCACCTACCTTTCCTTCTGTGGACACATAGCTTGCCTGCGCACACACACTCCCCAGGACAGCCTTCTGCCAGGCTTTAAACATTCAACAGCAGGAGCGTTTCCTTCTTTAGCTATGTTTAAATACTTTAATGTTTAAATATTTTTAAACATTGGGAGTTACAGTTCAAAACTTAGAAAAGTAACACCAGCCTGTCTTCTTCTGTAGGCACTGGCCCCATTAGGAATTGGTGTCGCCACAGGAGAACAGGTAAGTATGTGTCCTGGTTGTCATTATACAATGACCACTGAACAAAACACAGTCTTATGTTAAGCTTCACCACCTGTTGCATTTTTAGTTGGGAAATTTTTTTTCATCTTAGAAATTGGCTGGATTCAATCCCTAGCACTGCAAAAAAAATTTTTTAATTGGCGGTTCATTAGATTCTAGGGCAGGATGTCGTCAAAAGTTTGTGGCTTTTTCTACAGTTCTTATGATTCAGGTTACTGATTATTTTTTTTCAATATCTAATCAAAATTGATAAGGCAGCAATCTGAAATTACCATTGCTAGTGTTCAGTGGTTTTAAGAAAGCCAGCTTCCAAATGGAACAAACACAATGGCATTCACTTTTTGTGGCTTTATATCACAAGTGCCTGCCACAGTCAACCCACAAGCACAGCAGTGCAAAGAATAGATTTCTCCCAGCAAAAGGAGCAATGCCACTATTCTGCCTTGTCATTGTGCCACCTGCTCATCGCTGTCACCGTATCTAATCCTGATGCTCTATTTTACCTCCCACTCACCAGTCAATACAGTTATTCTCTAATAACTGGTGAGCTGCTGTGATTTGTACCTGACTCACATTGTTACATCTGCAGATTTGTACAGAAGTGGGTGCAAGGTCCTTGCCTGCACTGTCAGGGCCTTCTGAGAATAAAGAAGAAATACAATCTAGGCTTCCTGGAGGCCACTGATGAGCAACAGCTGGCATGGAATCACTGCCTGCCAGGCTCAGGGGTCTTGAAGGCCAAGGCTGACTCTTCTGTTGGTGATATTTTTTATTCTATTTCCAGTGCCACAATAGGGTGATATTTAAGCAACTCCTACAGGCGAATGCCCTGCAGTTTCTCCAGATTGACAGCTGCAGACTAGGAAGTGTCAATGAGAACCTCTCAGTTTTGCTGATGGCCAAAAAGTTTGGAAGTAAGGGTGCTGCGGAGGTTGCCACCAGCCCTCCCCTTTCCTCCCCTCCCCTTGATGCCTGGGCTTCCCTTGATGGCTTTGGCAACTCACATTGAGTCTGTACTTTGCCAAACTGACTTTTTTTCTAACTTTTGTTTAGCTGTAATAAGGGGATCTTTGATTTTCATTTTCAATTTTGTTCCTAAGTATTAATGATCTAATCACCTTTGGCACTAACAAAAACCACAGGGCTTTCTTCCCTACTCTGTGCTACTTTTGGAAATTTAAGTGTCTTCCTTCTAGTTCCTGTTTGCCCCCATGCTGGTGGTGTTGGCCTCTGCGAGCTGGTGCAGCACTTGATTATTTTTGACTACATATCAGTGTCCGGAAGCCTTAAAAACAGGTCAGTAACATGGCGTTAACTCACTTTACACTGCACTAGCATCCTAATCCAGGTCAGATCTTTGAAAATTCTGCTTTCATAACCAAAGACACTCAGAACCCTGTGGACTGTTGCAAGAGCCTAAGATGGCTTTAAGAACATCAGTTTCCAAATTGAATAAACACAATGTTCACTTTTTGTGCATACAAACTAAACATAAGCCATAACTCAAAGGATAAGTTGGTTTTGCTTCTGTCTTCTCCACATGAGACAGTAACAACAGGCACCCTGCAGAGCAGTCATTTTTTCCTGCTACAAGGATAGGTTCTTTGTAGTTGACACACTTTGTTTTCTAATTATGTTGGGGGTGGAGTTTGTACCTAGAACTCCTCAACCATCTCCTTACCCCAGCTTTCTTTCTTTTTGGGGGCGGTGATGGTACTGGGGTTTGAACTCAAGACATGGCACTTGTTAGGCAGGTGCTCTACCACTTAAGCCATGCCCCCAGCTCTTCCTTTCTGCAACTTTATGAAGCCCAGCTTTCATCATATATGTTCTCCGCTTCTGTCCAGTATCCTTCCTCATATTGGAGGCTTCCACAATCTGCTAACACATCTTTATTTAGTTTCATCTCATTTCTCAACATGCCCCAAGTGAATCGACTTCCTTCCTCTTTCCCTGTACTTGGGATCAAACCTAGAATCTCGTGCATGCTAGGCAAGCGCTCTTCCACTGAGCTACACCCCAGACCACCCAGTGGATGTTATAGTGGAATAATCTTCCAGTCACTGCACACATGCGGCTTTGCTTATTATGTTGTCTTATCTCCTGGAATTGAACGTGTGGCAGAAAGCTTACTAAGCGTGTATAGGGAAAGCAGGAAAACCTGCATGGGAATGGTAAACAAATTCAGCATTGAGAGTGAAAGGGGATGTTAGGGCACATAGGGAGTCTCAGTTATAATTGTAATGGTTTCTTCAGCTGGTAGTGAGCAGACAAGTGCTTTTCATATGGCCAAGCCATATTCATTACTTTTGTATTATAAATTAAAGAACATTAGACTGGAAAGGAGACCTGGGCCTCCTCCATCCAGGAGCTGCCACAGTTATTTGATTTCCCATGAGTCTAAACCTGTTTGTTCATCTGGAAAATGCAGGTTGGACCAAAGGGAGGTTGCCCCCAATCTTGAAAAGTCCTGCAGGTCTTGAGGGATGACAAAGAGGTCACCCCTGCACGTCAGGGCAGAATGTCCCTGATGTGACAGCCTAAGTGTTAGCATCTCACACAGGCTCTGCTGCCTGAGAATGCCCAGAGGCATTTGCTGTACAAGTGAAACCACCATGCCACCAACTCTGTATGTAGAGCGTTATCATACCTCAACTGTGCTTTGTCATTCTCTGCATACAGTGCCTCTTCACTTCTCACCTGTAAGGCCACCCATCATCTTCTCACCTGGGCTGGGTTTTCACCTGCACCCTGTTCTTTAAAGATAACACATACAGCACATAAGTCAGTGGCTTAGTCTCTGTGACCACTGACCACAAGGCTCTCTCTTGCCAGTTTCATTGTGCATCCCCAGCACCAGGCATGGCACACCCTGCCTATCGCAGCTATTCCTTACCAGGTGACAAAAGCAAGGAAACTTACTGGGCATGGTGGTGCACATCTATAATCCCAGCTTTTTGGGTGGCAGAGGTAGGAGGATGGCAGTTCAGGACCAGCCTGGGGAAAAAAGGTAGTAAGAACCTATGCCCTAGTCCTAGCCTAACTACTTAGGAGGCAGAGATCAGGAGGATTGAGGTTCAAAGAGACCCTCAGGAAAAAAAAAAAAAAAATCACAAAACAGGGCTGGTGGAGTGGCTCAAGGTATAGGCCCCAAGTTCAAACCCCAGTACCTCAAAAACATACAAACAAAAGGACTGTGGGTATGGCCCAAGTGGTAGAGTACTTGCAAGACCCTAGGCACAATCGCCAGTAACAGCAAAAAAAACCAAAAAGGAATGGTATGTTACCTGCCCACAAAACTAGAAAGTTGGCTGACAAAGAATTTGAACAGACCTCACTCTAAAAACCTGTGCTCTTCATCTAAATCATTTTTATTGGTGGCTTAATCCATTCATCTAACTTTTGGCTAAAGGCATTCAAACAATCCAGTATTTATGGAGTGAGAGTTGAGGCCTTTGGGGCATCAGAAAACTTTAGTTACAGGGACTTCGTGGATCATTTCATCTCAGCCCCTACATTGCTGTGTGCAGATGAAAGCACCGCAGGTTTATAGTCTAAGGATTTTGCATAGAAATTCATGCAGTCTCAGTTCCCCAGTGCCAGGTCAGGCGGGCTAGGCAAGTGCTCTCCCACTGTCCCAGTCCCCATTCCTTAAAGACACTCTCCCCTTCTGCTCTAAGGGTTAGCAGCTCAAGAATTAACTACTTCCCCAATTTGATTCCTTCCTCCTAGGATGTGTGAATACGTGGATCACTTGCATGAACATTTCAAGTACCCTGTAATTATCAGGAGGGCTTCCTACATGCCTCCTAAGGTAAGTTGGGGTTGAGGACACCTCAGAGATGGGCCTGCTGCTGACACTACTGTGACCATGAACATGGAGCATGGAGTTTTGACTCCTTAAGAGTTTATTTCCAGTATCTAGAAACAAATGGCTCCTTAGTAAGTCAATAAGAAATGCTTAGGACCTTAAAGTCAGAGCTGATTGATTTTGTTAGCATTTAAAACACGCATTCCTTATGCAAAGCAAACAAAATAAGGCACCACAGGCCTTAAGAGGTTTTGAGTAGTTATATAATTTGGGTCATTTATCCTAATCATGTTCAGATTATAGCTCATTTTTACCAATAGACATTGAGCCATCAATGAAAGTTTAATTAGATTCAGTAACTAATCCTGGTAATTAACCAGTAAAATATACCCCTCTGCCCTCTTTCAAACAATCCGAAAAATTGTTAAAAAAAAAAAAAGTTGTCTCTGGCTTAGATTTAAAATCATTTCTAGGAACATCAGAATTACATGTCTTCGTCCCAGGCAGTTACCAACACTACTGAATTTGTTTTCGCTAGGATGCTGGCTATTCAACAGAAATGAAGGAGGACTCTGTAGAGAAACACCAATACCCAGATGGCGAAGTATGGAAGAAACTCCAGGCTGCTCAAGAAAATTAAGTGTTCACCCCTAACAAACACCTTTTCTTAAGTGAAAAGGCTTATAATTTCTTGGGACAGTTTTAGAAAAATAGGAGGAAAAAAACCTCATCCTACCAATCAAGTTCAGTTGAAAGCTGTATTAACCTTGGGAGTCAGCTTAATCATTGGTATCACTTGATTCTTTCAGCAAGTCAAAATGTTTTCTATTTAATCCTTAAATTTAATTTACCTAATCCAAAAATGCAGGAAGATGTTCTCAGAAAATTTCTATCAAGGGCTGGACATTAAACTGTACTTTGAAAATGAGGAAAACATCACACAATGTGTTGGAATGATTCCTTGTTCTCTCTGTTAGCACTTGTCATGAAGTAGCAGAATAAAAACAGTTCGGCAGTGCAGGGCATCTGGTATGCATGACATGGTTTAGCATCCCTTTTCTTGATCAATGTGAGCATATTAGAGAATTCACAGCATACTAAAATTAACAGGGACAAAATGTTATTTCATAGATTACTTTTTATCTCTTCAAAAAACTATCCTAAGTGGCCACTATATTTTAATATAAAATGCACCTAAAATGAGATGAATCATGGAAAAACAGGGCAAAACAGTTAAAAGTCGTATTTCTAAAATACACTGTAATCATCTGAAAAGCATCCTAACAAGATTATGTATGTGTGTATGCTGTACTCCTAGAAGGTTCAGGTCAATCTGTTTGAGGCAGGAACCAAGCAGATAAATGGCAATACAGGGAAAAAAAAAAAAAGGGAAAATGAAAAAGTTCTTTATTACAGCAATCTATAACACAAAACAGATGTGTTTGTGAGCACCCTGTATAATGATTGATGGAGTTACTTGAATTTTGTGAGAATAGCTTATATAATGAATTTCACCAGCCTTCTTCTTCATGAAGACATGAACTGAAATGCTTGTGTTTTCACTCTTTATTCATAACCACATTTTCCTGCACCCTCACTGAGTAAACCAAACTCAAAAGGCTTTGATTACTAAAAAAAGTATATATATCTGCCAGTGATAACATTCTTAAAAGTTAATGAATAACTGCTAGGTCATAGACAGATTGATTTTTGACCTAGTTCCTTTTTCTTTTAGAGCAAAAAGAACTTTCAGCCCCCTAAAGACTGCCAGCATCCTTCCAATAGATCCTCTGAAAGGGCTCTAAACAGCCATTTCCATCTTAATAGTAGGATGAGGATTGTACCCTTCAATATGAAAGTCTTCAACTCTGAAGTCATCAATTGTCTCAACCTTTCGTAGGATTTTGAGCTTAGGGAAAGGTCTTGGTTCTCGCTGAAGCTAAAAACAAAATAAAACTGTTATTTTGCGATATTTCTGCAACTTGCTTTAATTCTGCTCCCCATGTCTCTTCATGAAACAGCACACAGTATTTTATCAAAGTAATATTTTACAGGGGGTATAACACAGTGGGTACCTCATCCCTGGTTATTCACTGGAGCATCCCCAACCTGATCTCCCGCACAGATCAAGAGTGGAGGGTATTTTATGTTACATCAGCTGTGAGTTCTTAAACTCAGATATGCAGTCTTTTACTTTTCTATCTATACTCACAATAGCATTCAATATGGATTTTTTTCTTGGGGGGTTGGGCATACTGGGTTTCAGTTCAGGGTGTTGGAACTTGTTAGGCAGGTGCTCTACCACTTGTGCCATGCCCCTAGGCCTTCATTGCTTTAGTTATTTTTCAGGTAAGGTCTCACCAAGATTCTTCTACCTATGGCCTCCCAAATAGCTGGGATCACAGGTGTGCACCACCATATTCAGCTTATTGATGAGAGGGGGTCCCACTAACTTTTTGTCCAGACTGGCCTCAGACTGAAATCCTCCCTATCTCTGCCTCTCAAGCAGCTGAGATTACAGGGATGAGGCCACCACACCAGGCTCAATATGGTTTCTCGAGTGCCATAATCCCCATCCTAACTAACTGTTCATGGCAGAAAGGAGAACAAAAGAAGGCCTCTGTTGACAATTCACAGAAAGGGACACAAGCCAGAATTCCTGAAATGAGCACAAAGTGTCCAATAGGACAGAGTGGACAGGCAGTATATAAGAGGTGCTGAACAAGCCTGCAGTCACTCTCTACTCAAGAGGCCAAGCTCCCAAAGAGTAGCAACTTAAGAGATCTAATCTGGAAGGGACTAAAAGGTTTTTGGTTCTCATTTTTCCCCCCAGGGGCACACAAAGCAGAGACACTCATTTTTTTTATTGCCATTTTAAATCATCCTTTGTTGGCTGTTATACCTTAGGGATTTGAACAGACAGATCTATGAAAGTTTAGAACCCAGTATTGTATTGGTATAAAATTAAGGGAAAACATTTGTATTTCCATTCTCCTTCAAGTGAAAACAGGAGTTATGGTGCCAACTTGGGAAGGTTCCACGTCCCCTTGCCTGAAGGTGGCTCTTCCTCTGTGGTACTGGTGCTTAGTATCTTGTAGCACCTGTCACATTTGTGCCTGTGGTTGTGAGGCAGGTGTCGGCCTTGTCCCTGCCCACCTGCCTACTACCCTTCTCTAACCTGGAGCCCTGCAGCTGGAGCATGACATTTATGCTGGACACAGCATCCAGCAGAGTTCCTGTCCATAAGGGATGCCCCATAAATCAACCTTTAATCAAAAGGAGGCACCAAGAATGTAACTCTTACCTGGGTTTTCAGTGGCTCAATGTGATTCAGGTAAATATGTGCATCTCCCAAAGTATGTACAAAGTCACCTGGCTAAACAAATCCCCAGGAGAAAGCAGAACAATGTTTTAGTTTCAATTCCTCTAAAGTACATCATTTAAGAACGCTATACAGAGTACGTAGACTCCCCAAGGCTTTTCAAAAAAAATAAAGAATTTAACCAGTGTACCTTTGAGAAAAGTCAGGTCACAGAAGTTGTATAATAAACAACCTACAAGACCCTGTTAAATTACAAAGACCACACAAGGAAAGGAAAGCTCCCCAGAGTGAGCCAGTTCATGTCTTATTTACCAATATCAAATTTTAACACTAATCATGCTGAATTCTCTGCAACTGGGTTTTTCACAAGAACAATCAAAGAGCAGAGTGCATTAGGCTACAACCATCTTCCCGGGAGCAGCTCACCTGCAGGCCCGTGATGTGTGCAATCATGTAGGTGAGCAGAGCATAGCTGGCAATGTTGAAGGGTACACCCAGACCCATGTCTCCTGACCGCTGGTATAGCTGGCAGGACAGTTCCCCGTTCACCACATAGAACTGGCAGAGAGCATGGCAGGGAGGCAGCGCCATCAAAGGAAGATCTGAGGAGCCACACAGGTTTAAAGAACACAGCAGAGGTAGGACTGAGGTCAAAAGTTGGCGTTGGCAAATGTGAGAGCCTATCTAACAGACTGAAGAAAAAAGACTGGGTGCAGGTTCAAGTGGTAACGTGTCAAGGTCCTGAGTTTAAATCCAATATTGTCCAAAGGAAGAAAAAGAAAATCATAGGTATATTTCCATAAGCAATTTAAGGCTTCTTTGGAATAAGAACAAATTGAGATCCTGTGGGCCCAACCCCTTAACAAGAAGGTGAAAATGGGAGAAGCATGACTTGCCAGAGGTCACACAACCAACCACATGGCTGGGAGCAGTCCCAGGATCCTCTGAACTAACTATACAGATAATACAAAAGAAGATGGTCAAGGTATTTCCCACCTTTTGGGTTCCAGGCACACATGATGATTCTTCTGTCATCAGGGTTGGTTTTGATGGTGTCAATCACTTTTTGCAGCTGGTCTACTCCTTGACCTGAGTAATCTGTAGAATTGTTGAGAAGGACACGTACACAGGTTGCTCAGAATCTGTCATGTGATGGCCCTGAGATCATCTGTTTCAGCCTTCACTCTACATCCCTCCCTGGTTAGTGGTTATAAGACGCCCAGCGCATTCTGGTTGAGTTCAAGGTCCTACCTGAGCTTCAGTCTTCCGGAGCAATAACAAAAGTCTATTTTCACAAATACTGGATCTACTACATTGTCACTTCCTCCCCTAGCACCTCTCCCTACTGCTAACGACTGCGGTTTGGATATGGTCTGAGTTTGTCCCTTACGGGCTCCTGTGTTGAAATTTAATCCTCAGGGAGAGGCATTAGGGGAGTGGAAATGTGATCCAATTGCAGTGTTTAGAGACATGGCCCCTGGGAGCTGATGAGGATTAGGTAAAGTCGTGGAGCCCTATGACTGAGTAATAAGAGAGACCAGAAGACACACAAACATGCTTCTTGTCTCATCATGTGACATCTGATATCACAGGTGCCACCTTGGGACTCTGCCATCAAGAAGGCATTGGAACCTCCAGAACTGTGATCTGAAATAAATCCCTTTCTTGAAAGTTTTCTAGCTTCTACTACTTTGTTGTAGAGATGAAAAAAAAAAAAAAAAACAGGAGCTGAGGAGATAGCTCAGAGGTAGACTGTCTGCCTGGCAAGGTCCTGGGTTCAGTTCCCAGAGGGACTGCCAAAAAACCCCACAATACACACACACACACACAGACTAAAACACAATCTCCAATCTCAATACTCTTAGTCCTATGGGACTTAGTCTCTGTATCCGTCAACCATTCCTGTCACACTTCACTGATACAATCAATCTATTTGTGTATTCTTGTCCCACAGAAAGCACTGGGGACTGTCAATAGAATATAGCATTCCATAGGCATTCCAACTGGCGGGACTGGATTTCTTTCTATGACCTGGGCACTATTCTACCATCGATTCCACTACATTCAGATTGAGATTTAGCGGTGACGCATACCACTGACGCACAAATACCAGGAAAATGTTAATGATTCTAATGAGCTTGTTCTTTTCTCCCAGTTCTGGTCTCTTGACCTTAATTCCCTGTCCCCCTTGAGATGAGAAGTGACGAAGAGCAGAGCCTCCTAATCTCCTCTGGCTAAACTCCCACTGATGTGTGTCAGACAATGTTCTAGTCTAGTGGTTCCACATTTGGGGGAGGAGGGTTTGGGCAGGAAGTTCTCTCAAAATCACAGTTCCAAAAAATAATATTAAAGATTTTTAAAAGAATTGTGGGGCTGGAGGCATGGGTCAAGCAGTAGAACACCTGCCTGACAAGCACAAGGCCTGGAGTTCAAATTCCAGTACCACCATAAAAAAAAATTTAAAATAAGTTTAGAAAACGTAAAAAGAATGATGATGAATATTCTGTATCTTGATTGCGGTGGTGGTTCCACAAATCTACACATGTATTAAAATTGCAGACATTCACAAATGAGTGTAAAACTGGTAAAATATGATAAACTGCAGATTACACAATGTTAATTTTGCAAGATGTTACACAAGGTATTACCATGGGGGAAAACAGGGTAAAGGTACAGGTAACTGTTCCTACATTGCCACCCCACCCAGTTTCCCATGGATCTGTAATTACTTCAAAAGGAAAACTTTAAAATACACTCCCTACAGCTATACAACAGCTAGCACTCATACAACTCAAAACTAAGGCTTGTATTTTCTTAGGCCCCTTAAGCAACAAGAAATAACGGAACACCAGGCAGATGGAAGGCACCAGTGGCCAGGGGAGTAGGCCTTGGGAAGAGGCTCCAGGACAGCAATCACACACCAACAACCTACAGACTATTAATGTGCTGAAAATATCTGGCCCACGCTGCATTCTTTTCATTGTGTAAGTATTCAATAACATTAAATTTGCTATTATAACCATTTTCAAGCATGCGATTCAGCAGCAGTAAGTACATTCATACTGTTGTACAGCTATCACTCTACCTACTTCCAGAACATTTCATCACCCCAAAAGAAAACTCTGCAACCCACCAAACACTAACTCCCCATTCTCTCCCTACCACTGGGCAGCACCCATTCTACTTTTTTTCCAGTACTGGGGATTGAAACTAGGGCTGCCCCCAGCCCTTTTGTTTGTATTTTGTTTTTGAGATAAGGTCTATCTTTGCCCAGGCTGGCCTCAAACTCAAGATCCTCCTGTCTTCTGCCTCTGCCTCTTAAGTAGTTGGGATTGCAAGAATGTGTCACTATACCCAGCTCTCCATTCTATTTTCTGCCTCTATGAATTTGCCCATTCCTGGTCCATACAACATTTTAAAACTTCTTGAAGTTGCCAACATTAAAAAGACTTCATGATTGCACATAAATGCCCTTTTAGACTTTTCCTGGAATTTGGACACCACTAGGCCTAAATCCCTCCAGCTGGCTGGAGGCGAGTTGGGACTATCCCGACATACACTGTCCAGGTTGCTGGTCCCTGTAAAATTACTTCCTGCATGAGTGCACAGACGCCCACACCCTACAGTGGTATTTGTTTTGTTAATAGGTGAGAAGTAGCTCAAGGGCTGAAGGCTGAGCTCTGTGACACTCAAGTGGTGCCACCTACAGGACAGAGGAAGGTACATGTTCTGTAGGAAGAGGTTTCATTCTTCCTCAGTTCCAGCAAGGCAGGCAGACTGCTGTCACACCAGCGCCACCTACAGCATACTTGTGGGTCAACCTTGAAAAGGGAGATTTTAGCAAGGCAGTCCTGGTCACCTAGACCCATATGAACTCTTTCCTACCCTTCCCCAACATGGACACCAACTCTGTGTTAGTGCCAATGGCACAGGTATGGAAAGTTCCAAGCACCCTATAAGTGCTAGTCACCAAGAGTGTAAAAGAGTGTAAAGGGCTTTAGTTGTAGCTCCTTTACCTTTACCCAGCACAGCCTCTCTTATTGTCAAAGATACACCAGCTCTCATGCCACTGAGTTCCTATCCCCAGACTTTACCTGCAACAATGGACCAAACGCACACAAGGAAGGACACTTGAGAAGTCTGAGGCATCACTCTGCCACCTTACCTGAATTCATATCTTTGTAGTCTGCTCCAAAATGCCTCCACTGGAAGCCATAGACTGGGCCCAGGTCTCCTTCTTGTCGGGCGGAAAATCCCAGGCTGTCCAGAAAGTCTCGGGATCCATTGGCATCCCAGATTTTCACTCCCTTGGAAGACAGTTCCTTAGCATTTGTGGATCCCTGGAAGAGATGAGAGGAGAGCAGGCACCCAAAAGGATTGAGACATGTGGGTGGAGGCCTCTAAGAGCCTCGCACCCGTGACACACTGGCAGATGGCACTCGACAGGAGCCACATGGACCCCATCCTATCTTTAAGCAGACTGGGCGCAGCCACGGACTTCTGGAGGCTTTACAGAATGGTCTGAACCATCTCCCAAGTCATTTCTTCTATTCCCTTCAACTTTCTAAACACCTCCATGTCCTGCAATTATTCTCACTTCATCTCAGAGTTTTGGATTGCTTAATCAAATGTGTTCTATGTCTAAATGTGATACTCCAAAATGAATTCAATATCTCATGTACAATCCATTCATGTATCATAATCCTGGCATAAAAGACATTTCTAATGATCAGACTAATCAGTATTAGCTTTTCTGGCAGACAGATGCTATTTCATTCATCTCTTACATATGCCACTACAAAGTTGTCACCCCCAATCTATACTCACAAGGTTGTTGGTTTGTTTTTGTTTTTGCCAAGTCTTATGTTTCTCTTACACTTTATCCTATTATATTTGGCCTATGTCATCCTAATTTGTGCCCTGGTCATGAACCAGGTCAGAACAGACCCCTGTGCCTCTGGTGTATCTAGGTACTAAGGCTTTCATGCCACATACACGTGGGTTCAGTGCCTGCTCCCTCTACTTACTTCCTCCTCTTAGCCCTCGAGTCTCACCTGTGTCTGCTGTGAGGCGTCTGCTGTGAGGCGTCTACTGTGAAGACAGTTAACACCAGCAAAATGCTTGGTGCTAAGCAGATACCAGCCATTCACACAGCCCTATCTGTTGTCTCCAGTGCAGGGCAGGTGTGTTGTACCTCCTGTATTTGGTCAAGTCCCTCACTATCAAAGGTGAGTCTGCTGTACCTGGTAGACTTAGAATACTGAATTCAAGTTTAAAAGCAGACAAATGCATTTCATCTTTGAAATGCTTCCTTTCCATTTTTCTCTTTTTTATTAGCACGTTAATTGTACAAAGGGGTTTCATTATATTTCCATATATGTATTTGATCAAATTCATCCCCTGTATTACTTTCTTTAAAATGTGTAACAGATTTAAAATAATTTTAACAGATTTCATTATTCTATTTTCATACATGTGATGAAGTACTTCAATCATACTCTCCCCCCTTCACCCTTTCCATTTATCCACCCACTGGTTCCCACCCCAAAACAGTTCCCACCATTTTACACTGTTGCTTTCTCCCTTTTCTATTCTTGGATTTGTCCTAATTTTTTCACTTCCAACAAGTGATTTCTCAATCTTTCACATTCATCTTAAGTCTCCCTTTTCCATCCACTTAAACTGGGATCTAGTCCAGACATTCTAAAGAATATCTGAGATTTCTTTTGATGGCACTGGGGTTTAAACTCAGAGCCTTGTGCTTGCTAGACAGGCGCTCTACCACTTGAGCCACACTGCCAGTCCTAGAGTATCTGAGATTTCTTATGATGCATCTCCAGCCAGAGGCTGTCAGTGAAGAAGCCAATACAAAATTCTGCAAGAACTCAGAACTAAGATGACAGATTGGATCCAAATCTCAATCCTTTTTAAAAAGGAGTAATAAGACTTAGGTCTGATTTGGCTCAAGACCTTATCAGCTAAACCAAGTGCTCTATAGAAAGGATTCCAACTGTAGCTCGGCCTAGAACTAAGCCTATCTCCTCAAGTACTCTAAACCAGCACCAGACACATTATCACTAGTTATGGACCAGGACATGGATCAAGGCGGAGCTTGGGGGTCACTGGTACTTGTCATTAGGCACCTAGTTACTTATTTGGTCTTTTGGTACCTATTCCGTGATCAATATATGCAAGTGCCAACCAGGTTATATTCGAGGCCTGGGGACATAGCAGCAAATAAGAGAAACTGATTCTCTGCCCTTACAGAACATTTCACTCACATGTCCCCAGAGAAAAAGGGAAGGCTAACATGACATGAGATGATGTTTTCCCTTGGAGGAAACCAGAACGGTCTGTGACTGGGAGGTACAGAGGCAGTTTGCTGGACAGACTGGAAGGTGAGTGGTCACGCTGTAAGTGGGGGAAAAGGTTCCAGGGGGCTCAGAGGGCTGAGGTGGGAATAGCACAGTGTGTTCAAAGATTAGCAAGGAGATTAGGATGGGTGGTACAGAAAAACAGCTAAGGCAGAGCTGGAAAAGGAGCCAGGGGAAGACTGAGGAGTGACATGATTTGACTTTTAAAAGGCTTAGGCTGGCTTGACCAGACTGCAGATTTCCAACAGCAGCAGCTTCTTTACCTTGATAAACCACAGCAGCTCCTCCAAAACTCCCTTCCAGAATACACGTTTGGTTGTGAGCAGAGGAAATTCATCTGAAAAAACAGTTTGCCACACAGTTTGAACATGGAGGAAAACTGCCCGGGCCGCAAAGTCCTGGAGTAACCAGGGACACGTTGGGAGGGTGGAGAGACTACAACTGCTGCTCAGTGGCCACCTGGGGTCAGGGTGAAGCTCCCAGTGTCCAAGGCAAGTCTGCAACATAAGTCAGACTAGGAGAGCCCTCCTGAGCCCTGGTGACCATAGGACACAGGAATTCTGCACAATGACAGAATTCATTGTGTGGAAAATGGAAAGAACTCCCACCCTGCTACCCACCCAGTCAGTGTGAATCCTGTCACAGAGGTGTGACCACAACACCTACAATGTGTCCCAGGAGAAAGCCCACAGGCTGGTAGGCAATTCCACCATGATCCTGCCAGAGAAAACTTGCTCAGGACAGGAGGATAGGTATCACACACTGGCGAAAACTAAAAAAGAGTTTTTAAAGTAAACTAACCTCTATATTACTTGGTATACACCAAAAGTTGAACCTGTTTAAAAACCATAATCACAATCCTTTTTAATACTGTGAACAAGCCCTCTTGAGGGAACTTTCTGCTCTCCATTTTACAGGCACCAGGAGGCAATACCCACGTGTGCACTGCTTAGGAGACAAAGGGGAAGAAGGAACAAAGCAATCGGAAATAAAGTATAATTGCTGGGGTGCTGCAGTAATAGAGTGTGTATTTACTAACATGGGCATTCTTTCCTCCATCTTTAACATATGGGAAGGCTGCCCACGGTCTAAGCAGATGGGTAGATTAATAACAGATTTGAGGGTCATCAGAGTGGCAGACAGGTGGATTCCTTTCAATCCTGAGCAGTTCCGCTGCAGTACCTGGGGTAGCTTCCAGTCTCAGGAAGGGGTCTTCCCCTAAGTGAATCTGCTCACCCAGTAGTGCGTATCCCCACCTGGATCAAGGATGGTCTTCATTCGTCCTAGAGGTCAACTTGACCCCCAGGGTTTGCGGGAGTCCCCTCGGCTGCGCAGCAGGCCCTTAACCCAGGAAGACCACAGTGAAGGCAGTCCAATCTGCTGCCTAACGCCCTGTGCCCTCCCCCCACCCAAGCGTTTGTTCTCTGGAAGCCAGAAGTTAACAGCCAGCAGGGGATGCTTCTTCCCTGCGGCCATCCTGTTATAAGGAGGAGCAAGAACTCCTGGGCCTCTGTTCCTCTTTCCAGAGGAAAAGGAGGAAAGAACAAGTTCCCGCCAGCCCCAGGGCCACCGCCGCCGTCCCGCCCACATCGTTTTCAAAAATGCTGCTAAGCACAACGGCCAATGTGGGGAGGCGGGAGGAAGAGGACTTAAAGTCAGGAGCTCCGGACCACGAGCTGGTCGAGCCCGGGCAGTTCGCCTTCCACTCCCTAGCATGGGGCAAGCATTACTGGGTCACAACCCCCGTTGGGGAGGCAGAAGTGGGGTGATTAAGAACGATGCTGGGGAGGGGGCCCATTAGGACCTCGTGGACCTTCCAGCAGTTACCCCTTTAGCCCGAGCCTCAGTTTCCACATCTGTAAAGTGGGAATGCAGGTGGGTTGGGAGTAACCATGGCTTGCAGCCCCGCGTGCTTCCCGCAGCGCAGCTCAGCGCGCAGCCCGCCGTATCCCCCACCATCCCACCCGCCCTTAGGGACCCGGCCGCGGTCACCTCGCAGGCTGTAGCGCGCCTGCATGCCGAACACCGACAGGGTGCCGGTGCCCGTGCGGTCCTCCTTCCTAAAGCCGCAGCGCAGGATGTGCTCGATCTGCCCCAGGTACTGTCGCTCCCCGTGCGGCGGTGGCTCTGCGCCCCGCTCCTGCGCGCCGTGCGGGAGCTCCGCGCCGGCTGCCGGCATCTTTGAGCTGTGGCGGGTGGCAACGGCTGGAGAAGTGGGCGCCAAAGCGGTGACCCCGCGCTCCGCCTCTTCCTGCGGGGAAGCTAACGACCTCGCGCCCACGCGTCCCGGGCGCGCGCACAGCCACGTGCAAACTCTCCCAGTCCCCTGGAGGTTAGCCCAGCTTGGCCATGGACACTCCCAGAGTCTGCAACTCGGTGCCTTGGCCGCAAAAGGTCGCTCTAGTTGGAAATCGCAGGGTTCCCCCTAACCCCCCGCGCCATTCGCTAAGCTAGGAGCGCCTGGCATTGTCCCCACGTGCGCGTGCAAACGTGGAGAAAAGCAAAGCCCTGTGAATTGAGGGGTTTCCTACGACTAAGCTGTTTGCATTTCTGCCCCCTCTCCGTCCTCACTGAGGGCCGGCAGCTGCAGCAAGTAGAGCCAGACAGCTGTTTTCCTTGACTGCTGACGGCCCAGGGTTCTGCAAGGTTTTAAGGCGTTTTTCTCCTTCGGTGGAAGTTGATCGATCGCGTAAGCACTGAGGAGTAGGACCTAGGCGATAGTGAGTTTGAGATGTGCGAATAACGTACGTTGCACAAGCAAGCAATCCTCCGCAGCTGTTTGTGGAGCACATAAATTGCCCAGTAATTGTTTACTGAGTCAATAATTTAAGAATTTGGCTATGTCTGGGGATATAAAGAACAGGATGTGTACTCTGCTGAAATTAAATGCTATCAATTTGTTTTTCTTTCATTTGGGGGATTGATCCCAGAACCTCTACATCCTCCTATTCTACCACTGAGCTACCCCCAACCCATGTATCTTTTTTTTTTTTTCCTGGTTCTCTTAGCTCATGTTATCATTTTTTGCAAGTGCTACGGTTTGCGTCCCCTCTCCAAGGCCCATGTGTTAAGTCTGGGTAGCCTACACCTGGCACTATTGGAAGGCGGTGGAATCCTTAGGAGGTGGGGCCTACTGGCCGGAAGTAAGACCATTAGGGGCGACCATTAAAGAATACACCCGCTGCTCTCTGTCTACCTCAGGCTTCCTTGAAGCAAGCGAAACTGTCACCCCATGATGTCCAGCTCCCCATGGTAACTTCCTGCACAGCCACAGGCCCAAAGGCAACCAGACCAAGCAACTGTCGGCTGAAACCTCTGAGCCAAACTAAACCTTTCCTCCTCCTAAATTAATTACCTCTGGTATTTTGTCACAGTAAGGGAACACTAACATCAAGATTCTAGTATCTTCTCCCTTCCATCCAACTACTAACTGTTTGGCCGGTGGGCAGCCACCCCATGGTGATCAGGGACTCTCTGCTCACTTTCCACTCCATCCCTCCTTCCCTTCATGATTACCATGGCAACTCCTGCTGGCAGGCAATGGGTCCTGACCCATATTACCCTGAGCTCCTCCCCACCAAACCTCGACCTATCCCGATGCCCCATAATACCTTACGCTCTTGACTTCACCCAGGATATAAAAACTGGGCTGCCATTTCTCCGGCGCGACTTCTCCGGCCCTGCTCTTTGGGGACGGTGAGCCTCGCCCTAGAGCGCGCTCTCAATAAAGCCTGCTTAAAGCCTGCTTGCTTTATTATTTGGCTCCAATTTGGCCTTCCCATCAGCGTCGACCTAACACTAACCAGGCCCGACCCTGCTTAGCTTCTGAAATCAAGTACGTTTCAGGGTTGTAGGGCCCTAGAGACCAGCTAAGATTCTAGTATCTTCTAACCTACACCTCTCTAGCTCCAGTTTAAATTTTTTATGACAGGGAAATAGATTCTGGGAGGAGTTAATTATATCTCATCTGCAAGCCTGCCTCCTCTGGTCAGCCAAAACAGTGTTGCTTTTTTTGTGGCATACCTCACAAAATAAAAGAGAATCTCAAAGAAAATTTAGGAAATAGTTGGCCATTTTGGATTAATTGGAGGGGAAAGACCACTAACAGAATAAGGAAGGGTTTCAGGATACATTTCACAAGCCTGGTGGGAGAAAGTGGGTGCCATTGCTACTCCATTGTGTAAGTGCTCCCAAGGCCACAGGAAATGGAAATGCACCAGGTTAAAGGACAAAGCTAGCTATAATCTATTTACTAGGAAACAGTGTGGGACTGGCTCTTCCCAGATCAGCCTACATCCTTTGCCTACTTCCCACCCCACCTCATACCAGGGGAATAGTAATTCTAACAAATTATCAGTCTTCTTTGGGGCAGGCAGATCTCCTGTATGTAGCAGAGAAACAACAGTATCTTCCTCACCATTTCAAAGTCATGGCTGACACCCCTATAACAAAGACACATGAACAAGAGAAAAGCATAACAAGTTATTTAACAAGTTTCTGTGACACAGGAGACTTCAGAAATGAAGACCCAAAGATCAGGGAAAGCTATTTTTATGGACAGTTCTGCAGAAGTATGATTGAGGACAAGAGGGTCTGACCCAGTGGCAATAAACTGGTGTGTGTGGGGTGGGGGAGGAATCAGAAAGATCTCAAGTTCAAAGCCAGCCTGTGCTACATAGTGAGACCCTGTTTCCAAGAAAAAAGGGTGGCACATTGCGTAAGTAATAGAACATAAACACCTAGGTGATTTAATATTTAATGCATCATAGAATACATTGCACATGTAATTTTGATTTCTTAAAAAGGAATTTTCACTTTAACTCAATTTAACTAGCTATTAGCTGCCATACAACACAAGTAAATTAGTAGTATTGCAAAATTCATGATCAACATGCTTTCGTGCAGCTATGTTTATTAAATTAGTCTGCGTTGTATTTCAGGATTTGCGATCTCAGCTGAAGAGGTAATTCTTGTTGCATATAGGATGCGTTACAGCTTCTTACCTTTAAAAAAAAAACAATAATCAAAATACTAATTAATTACTTACAGACTTACTGTATTTTTTTTCTTGGAGTACAAGTTCAGGATAGATAATAGAATAAATGCTGTTTGGTTGTGGCAAAATGAATATATAGCAAAATAATGGAAACCCACATGTGTGGATATTTAAATTTTTTCTTAGCACATATTAATTATGTAAAATAGTGTGTTTCATTGTGACATTTTCATGCATGTGTACTTTGATCATATCCACCCCCCATTGCCCTCACTTCCCCTCCCCTCCTCCATCCCTTTCTTCTCCTCTAATAGTCCCCCTCCAACTCTTTTTCTTTTTTTTCCTAGACTCATATATGGACTTTTTTTGGTATTGGGGTTTGAACTCAGGGCCTCATGCTTGCTAAGCAGACACTCTACTACTTGAGCCATGTCTCCAGCCCAATAATTCAGTTATTTTTCATTTTGTTCTGCTTTTGAAGTACTGGGGTTTGAACTTGAGGCTTCACACCTGCTGGACAAGTGCTCTACCATTGAACCACACCTCCACCCCTTAAATAAACTTTTGTTACTCATGACCCATTGCCCTATTTAATAAAATTTTTGTGCACTTTTCACAACAATGATAGTAAGAACCCATCTAGAAAAACTTATTAAAAACTCACATGTGCAAGACATTGTCTTATAGCTGGTAACTGCTGGTCCCTGTGAAAGGGGTTTTTGTTGTTGTTGTTTTTAGGTACTGAGGCTTGAACTTAGCGGCCTACACTTGAGCCACTCCACCAGCCCTTTTTTGTGTTAAGTATCTTTGAGATAGGGTTTCATGAACTATTTGCTTGGGCTGACTTCAAACCATGATCCTCCTGATCTGTGCCTCCTGAGTCACTAGGATTACAGGTGTGAGCCACTGGGTACCCAATGAACCTGTGAAAGTTTGGAGTAGGGAAAACAAAACACATCACAAAATGGTGAAGAGCATCAGGCAGTTAGGATGCTGGATTCCTAGAGGAGAATTCTAGATGACGGCTCTAAAATATATGCCCACTCTATAAGGTGTTCATGAACCAAATGCCTGCAGCTAGGGCACTGACGTGTGCAGATTTCAAAGATGCAAGGGTGACTCTTTTCTACTCTTGATCCTGTTTGTTCCTTAGTTCCTTTCTCTTTCACCTTTGGCAGGTGTAAGACCCTGGTGCATTCATCTATGCAACACTAGTGCAACCTTATCCCCTGTATTGTATGGATGCACAAAAGAAGAAATCCAGTTAGTAAGCAAACTTGGAAAAATGTTCACTCATGAATAATAAAACATAAAAATTATAAATGAGTTCATTTACCATTGAAGATTTTTTACAGAATTGCTAGTTAGGGGCTGGAAGTGTGGTTCAATCGATACAGTGTCAGCCTTACAAGTTTGAACCCTCAGTTCGAACCCCAGTACAACCAAAAAACAAAACAAACAAAAAAATAAGAAATGCTAGTTGGGATACAAGAAGGTGCTATTTTAGATATTGCTAATATTAAATATATATCAATATATAACAAAAACAATAGAATGTTAGTGACCTTTAAACAAGTTATTCTATTTCTTAGAATCCAATCTAAGAAAATAAGTGAAAAATGTGAATAAGAGAAAACAGTAGCCAGGTGCTGATGGCTCATGCCTGTAATCCTAGCTACTCAGGAAGCAGCAATCAGGAGAATCACAGTTCGAAGTCAGCCCAGGTGAATAGTTTCAGTGACCCCCTATCTCAAAAAAACCCTTCACAAAAAAGGGCTGGTGGAGTGGCTCAGGTGGTAAGAGTGAAGCCCTGACTTCAAACCCCAGTACCATGAAAAAAGAAAAAGACAGTAAAATGGTAACAGTTTTGTTCAGATGGTAGAATTATACATAATTTTTGTCTCCTCACTTTTTGGAAATTGAGATTTTTTGTTACTTTTCAAATCCAGGAACTATAAATAGGAAAAAAAGAACACGGCCTTTGTACAAGATGACTTACTATGACTAGACAGTAATTTGTCAGTGTTGTAATTACTTTCAGTATCTCGTTTCCCACTGTATTGCACCCTCTGCATGGGAACACCTGTGAAGAGATGATTTAATTGAAAATGCTCTGATTTGGCTGTCAGCACTCAGTACCCACCTGAACACTGGCACATTCTTTCCTTTCTCAAAAACAGAGTCTCAGGCTGGCAGAGTGGCTCACATTGTAGAGCACCTGCCTAGCAAGCGTGAGGCCCTGAGTTCAAACCCCAGTACCACCAAAAAATAAAAACCCAGAAAACCCATAGGGTCTCACTGGTGCCTATAAGGTAAAACTCAAACTCCATAGCCCAGCACTCACAACTCTGCTGATCTCTTCCCAACTTTGCTCGTGCTTTTTTACCTCCTGTTATTCTTGTTGTATTCTATTCATCCACATCTGTGTAATTAATTAATTTATTCAATAAATATTCAACATCTGCTCTGTGCCAGGCACAGCACTAGAAACCCCAAGATAAAGTGGAAAATGAAAAATAGAGCCTGCCCTCATGGCTGTGTGGTCTGGTGGTAGAGACAAACACTGATCAAAGATTGGAAAATTCCAATTCCAACCTGGTGTTAAGAGCATGTGTGAAAGGGGGCCCAAGCCTAATTTAGGGGTCAGGTGTCTTCCCTGAAGAAGTGACCCTGAAGAACTGAGGTATGATGATGAGGTCATCTGTCTACCAAGCACCAGTTAAACCTCCTAGTATTGTCAAAAGAAAGGAAAAGACTATATTTATTATTTTACTATTCTACATAATTTTCCAAACATAAATTTTAGAGGGGCAACTTTTAATCAAATTTAGATTTCCCCCTTAGGATTGATTCCAGAAAGAATAATATAAAAAATATTTTATTATAATATAATCAAATAGCTTTTCAAAAGGGCAAAACCAAGGGCTGAGGATGTATCTCAGTGGTTGCCTAGCATGTGCAAAGCTCTGGGTTCATCCTCCATCTTTGCCACAAAAAGAAAAAAAAAGGAAAACTAGGCAACTAGGCAGGGTGTGGTAGCACAGGCCTGAAATCCCAGCACTCTGGAGGCTGAGGCAGGAAGATGTGAGTTTGAGGACAGCCTGGGCTACATAGTGAATTCGAGGCCAGCCTTAGTCTCAAAAACTGGGGCTGGCAGAGTGGCTCAAGCAGTAAGAAGGCCTGCCTTGCAAGCGTGAGGCCCTGAGTTCAAACCTCAGTGCCACCAAAAAAGATTTCCAATTCATTACAGACCTATTAGGATTTTTAAAGTTTGCACATTCGATAGGCATATCTTATGTACTTTTGTGTCTTTGTTATTCTAAGTATGAACATATTTTCCAGAGATTTAGAAACTAGTTTTGTTTTCTCCTTTCATGAGTTATTGATTCCTGTCACAGAGCATTCCTAATCAGTTGCTCTGCTTACCAGGTTTTAAAATGTTCCTTAAAATGCTCTAGAACTTTTGCTATCACATAGCCAATGAAGTTAGAGCTCTCAGCACTTTCTTTAAGAGCGATCTTGAGTGTGAGATTAGAGGAAGGCAGAAGGGCCGAGTTTACCGTGGTTTCATCTTGTTTGGAAGAATTTCCTTGACCATCACTTGGTGCTACCTAGAGAAGGGTTACACAGTAAAAGGTTTACTAAGTCCCAGCACACATTCAAAATTAATACCACATTAGTCAGGATAGGCTAAGCGCTGCTGAGATAACAAAGTAGCCCCAACATTCCAGTGACTTCCTACAACAAAAATTTCCCTCTTGCTCATGTGACATCTGTTACCAGGGCTCCATTCTACGTAGATGCTTAGAAGCCTGACTAACAGCAGTGCATGGTTATGGCAACTGAACTCCTGGCTTTCCTCCTGCCCTCAGCAGAGGGGAATGGATAAGCACGAATTGACTCCTCACTGCCTCACCCTGGAGATAAAATTTGTCATTTGTGCTCACATTTCATTGGCCACATGGCACCACTTACCAGAAGAGAACTAGAGACATGAGTGAGCTGGTGAAATGTTTAATGAGCATTGTGGTAGACATGGTAGACAGGAGGCTCTTACTGCTGCTGCTCTCTTTTTTTTTTTTTTTTTCCTTGTGGTACTGGGGCTTGAGCTCAGGGTCTTCACCTTGAGCCACTTCACCAGCCCTATTTTTGTGAAGAGTTTTTCAAGATAGAGTCTCCCAAACTATTTGCCTGGGCTGGCTTTGAACTGTGATCCTCCTGATCTCTGCCTCCTGAATACCCACCAGCACCTGTCTAAGTGTCATGTTTACATTGTACAGAGTTTTCCTAGGAAATTTACCATTTATGTTTCAATGTGTGATTTTGGGAAGAACCAGCCAAGCAAAATACACGTAGGTCCCTCTCTTCCCTCTCCCTCCCTCTCCCTCTTTCTCCTTTTCCCTTCCATGTCTCCCTCTGTCTTCCTCCTTCCCACTCCCTCTTCATCTCTCCCTCTCCCTGTCTCTCTCAGTCTCTCTGTTTCTTTTGAGACAGTCGTGCTGAAGAGTGCAGTCTGAACTCAAACTCAAGATCTTCCTGACTCAGCCTTCTGAGTGCTAGGATTAGAAGTATGTACTACCATCCCCAGCTTACTCTTTGGGAATTCTCAAGGGCATATAATTTAATTTTAATGATTTTAATGGAACTGAACTGACACACAACTTGATATAACTTTAAGAGAACTATTTTGAAAGTGTTTTTTAATAAATACCCTTATCAAAAAAGCTGCAATAAGCCAGGCATGGTGTCTGATGCCTATAATCCTAGCTACTTGGGAAGCTGAGATGAGGAGGAGCAAAGTTCAAGACCCTATCTCAAAAATTCCCAACACAAAAAAGGGCTGACAGAGTGGCTCAAGTGGTAGAGTGCCTGCCTAGCACATATGAGGTCCTGAGTTCAAATCCTAGTGCACAAAACAAAACTACAGCAAAAACACTGAGACCCAAATTAAAATTTTGTAACTCTAGTTTACTGCATTACTTCTTCCCTTTTAATGAATGTAGTATACATAAAGAAACTATGTAAAGCCTTTATGCATTTATGCTAGTCTAATAAATCATTATAGAGCAAATACCCATGTAACTAATAATTTTTTCACTTGTTGATTTTTTGTAGTTTAAGGCTTGTACATAGGCTTTTCTTCAACACCTGCAGTTTATGGGTTTGCACCTTCCTTTACATGATGAGAAAAGAGCTACTCTGAGAAAAATAACTTCTACAGGCAGCTTAGCAAAGCGGTTAGTCCTCTGATCCTGGAGTGGAGTTTTCAGTCTCGGTTTAACACTTACTGGCTTTGTGAGCTCCCACAAGGTGCTCTTTTGTGCCTCATCTGTACATAACACTATTTACCTGCTGTGTTTTGGACATGGTTTGTCCGTGCCAAAACCCATGTCGAAATTTGTTCCCCAAGTAACATGATTGAAAGGTTGTGGGGCCTTGAAGAGGTGATGAGCTGGGCACCGATGGCTCATCTGTAATCCTAGCTACTCAGGAGGCAGAAATCAGGAGGTTCAAAGCTAGCCCCAGACAAAAGGGCTGGTGGAGTGGCTCAAGGTGTAGGCCCTGAGTTCAAACCCCAGAACCACAAAAAAAAAAAAAAAGAGGTCTTGCAAGAGTGAATTAGCCTAGAGGTACTGGATGACCTACCACAAGTGCGGGTTGTTATAAAGCAAGCCTGACACCTCCCCTTTTGTCTTTTTCACACATGTACTCCCCTACACCTGCCTGCTCCCCTCCCTCCATCATGGAGCAACACGTGGCTCTCCCCAGAAGCGAGGCAAATGCCAGCATCATGAACTTGGGCTTTCCAGCCTCCAGACACCCTTTTCTTTGTGAATTACTCAGTCTGGGTATTCTTTTTTCCTTTTTTTCTCCCTGGTGCTGGGGATGGAACCCAGGGCACCAAGCATGCTAAGCACACACTGTACTACTGAGCCACGCTTCCAGCCCAGCTCTCAGGCACTCTGTTACAGCAACAGAAAATTGACTAAGACATTACCCTACAGGGCCAGTGAGGGGTAATGGTCTGCTGTACAGAAGTTCTTAGAACACTGCCCAGCACACAGTGAATGCTCTAGAGCAGTAATGATTATTATAAAGATGTATAACCAAAAAACATAATTGTATTTTATATGAAGGCTTTTATATAGTGGTGCCTTTGTTATCAATAAGAACGATTAAAAAAAAAAAGTCAAAAATCATGCCAGGCGCCTGTGGCTCAAGCCTGTAATCCTAAGTACTCAGGAGGCAGAGATCAGGAGGATCAAGGTTCAAAGCCAGCTGGGGCAAGTAGTTAAAAAGACCCTATCTTGAAAAAAAGCCCAACACCAAAAAGGGCTGGTGGAGTAACTCAAGTGGTAGAGTGCCTGCCTAGCAAGTATGAAGCCCTGAGTTCAAAGTCCAGTACTGCAAAATAAACAAATAAGTAAATAAATAAGACCATGTAAACTACATTAAATCAAGTCAACTTGACTACAATCACAATGGAAATATGTGTATTCGCCCTCTGACTCATTCTCAAATTCATATGCAATTAGTAGTCTATGGCCATACCACACTGAAGGCGCCCGATCTCATCAGATGCAATTAGTAGCTAAATTAGCAGAAGAGTGGAGGTAGCACATATAACCTACACGTCTGCTCCTGGGTCTGGTTTACCTTTGTTGAATTAAAGATATTCTCAGCTCCTGGGATCTGGTTCGCCAGTTCCAACACCCAACCAAACTGCTCTGTCATCCTCTGCATCAGATACGTGGTGTCCTCCAAGTGGTACTGCGTCATCTGGACAATCTGGTCGTATTGTTGGCTGGATACGTTGACCAATCGAAGGGCCTCATCGTATTCTATGTGGAGTTCAGGTACATCAGGGCAGTCTAGGAGAGAAGAAATAACACCGTGACAGAAAGGATCCAGGAAGCCTGCATAAACCCCGGAGAGTTCCTAGTCTACAGCTGTTGTTCTGGGATAATTAACATTGTCCCCATCACTTTCAGATGTGATCTGCTTTAATTAGTTGTTAATTATATGGGGTTTTTTTTGTAACTGAAACTAGGCTAGAGATAGAACTTCTTTTTATAAATATCAGGTGCCTACCACTATATTAAGAGAAAAGGTGGGGTGTGGGGGTGTAGCGCTGTGGTAGAGCAAATGCACTCCCCACCACCACCACCACCACCAACGAATTAGTAAGCAGAAGCACCCCTGCTATGCCTCCTCCACACCACAGTCCTTTTGTCCTCTCATGAGGAAAACTAGTTTGGATTTGGATGTATGTGTCCACTACCAGTAAATGGTATAGGAAAAGAGGGAAAGAATCCTTTAGAGTGAATCCACTTTATTTATTTTCCACATAAACTGTCATTTATTAGCATTTCTTTGGAGAAGAAACATTCAAATATTTACTTACTTTTTGACAGTACTGGGGATTGAACTCAGGGCCTCAAGAGTTTCACCACTTGAGCCACACCCATAGCCTTTCTGCTTTTAGTTTGTTTTTCAGATAATATCTTGCTATTTTTTGCTCAGTTTGATCTTGAACTGTGATCCTCCTATCTCTACCTTCAGAATAGCTGGGAATATCGGCATGTACCACCATACCTGGCCCCTGTGAATCTACTTTAAATTGGAACCAAAAATGTATAGGAAATGGAAAAAACAATTAGTGTTTGGAAAAATATTTTATCTCATTTATTGAACATTACATATTTACAGCCATGTGAACAAAGAATGAATCAAATGTTGATTGAAGAGACAAAATTATTGTTGTTAAAATATATGAGAGTTTCTAATAGTAAAACTTTGGAAACAATTTTGAGGTGCTTCAGCTAGAGAGTGGATAAATAAGTTGTGATATGCCTACACAGAGCAAATACACCAGTGAATTCATGAACACTGTTCATGTGGCTAAATCTCACAACTTATACTGAGTAAAAAAGTTACAAAAGAACAAATAAGCAATAATATTTGTATTCTTTAATCTATTTTTTTTGGTGGTACTGGGGTTTGAACTCTGGGCCTTGCACTTTCCAGGCAGGTGCTCTACCACTTGAGCCATACCTCCAGTGCTTTTTGCACTTAATTATTTTTCAGGTAGACTCTCACTTTTTAGCAGTGGTGGCCTGGACCGAGGTCCTCTTACCTATTCCTTTTGCATAGTTGGAATTACAGACACAAGAAATCACATGGCCAGCTAACTTTTTTGCCCATACTGGCCTTGGTCTTCTGTTCTCCTGATCTCTGCCTCCCAAGTATCTGGGGTTACAGGTGTGAGCCACTGTGCCTGGCAATATTTATAGTCTTAAGAAAAATTATCTGGAACTTGGAAATTAGACCAAAAAAATGCTGCATGTTCTTTCAAAAATGTCATACTATAGCATTATCTAAGAGGGTGGCCCCCCAAATCCCTTATTTCTCTAGGGAAATGATCCTTTGTTGCCCTTATGATATGTTGTTGAGTAGGGCCAGATGCTATAAAGTTAGAGTAAATTCCACGTTGAAGAGTTGTGGATGAAGTTATGGAAACAGCCAAGATGCCCCACTATTGATGAATGGATTAAGTAAATGTGGTATTTATACACAATGGAATTTTACTCAGCCATGAAGAAGATTGCAATCCTATCATTCGCAAGTAAATGGATGGAACTGGAGAACATCATTCTGAGCGAGGTTAGCCAGGCTCAGAAGACCAAAAATCGTATGTTCTCCCTCATATTCAGACTTTAGACCTAGGGCAAATGCAGCAATGTGGTTGAACTTGGATCACATGATAAGGGGAGAGCACATACGGGAGGTATGGGGATAGGTAAGAAACCCAAAACATGAAAGCGTTTGATGTCCCCACTGCAGAGGAACTAATATAGAAACCTTAAAGTGACAGAGGTCAATATGAGAAGGGGATCAGGAACTAGTGAAAAGGTCAGTTAGAGATGAATCAACTTGGGATGTAACACATTTGTACATGGAAGCAATGCTAGGACTCTTTGTATAGCTATCCTTAATTCAACTAGCAAAAATGCTTTGTCTTTCTTATATTGCTTGTGTCTCTCCAACAAAATTAGAGATAAGGGCAGAACAGGTTCTGCCTGGAAGTGAGGAAGGTTGGGGGAGAGAGAGGGAGCAGGGGGCAGGGGAGAGAAATGGCCCAAACAATGTATGCACATATGAATAAACGAATATAAAAAAAAAAAGAGAAAAGTTTTGGATGGTTTTTGTCCAGCTAAGATGTAAATTATTTTGATCTGCTAAAAAGATACCTGCAAAGGTCATTCTTTAACTACCCTCTAGTATACTAACTAGTTTCATATCTAATTTTTCATTCTTATTTCAGCAGTCTAACTTTGACTATAAATACTTCAGTCTCTTACAGTCCTTTGAACCAGCTTTAACACTGATTAACTAGCCAGTGTTAATTATTTTAATTAATAAATTTAATTAATTTTGACTTGGGCTCATTTTATATTTGGATGACTCATATATATGTATATATATATATATATATATATATATATTTTTTTTTTTTCTGAGCTAGTGCCCAAGGCTGGCCTCAAATTTGCAATCTTCCTGCATTACCTCCCAACTAGTGGGATGATAGGTGTATGCCACCATGCCCAGCTCATGAATCATATTTTCAAGTTTAAAAAATATACTTTGAGGCTGGGCATGGTCACTCACAGTTGTAATCCTAGCTACTTGGAAGGCCAATATCAGGAGGATTAAAGTTTGAGGTCAGCCTGGGTAAAAAAGACCCCATCTCAACCAATAAAAAGCTGGGCATGGGGCTGTGCCTGTCATCCCAGCTATACCAGAAGTATAAATAGGAGGACTGGGATCTAGGCATGAAGTGAGACCCTACCCCCAAAATAACCACAGCAAAAAAAGGACTGTGGGCATGGCTCAAGTGGTAGAGTGCCTGCCTAACAATTGTAAGACCCTGAGTGCAACCCCTAGTACTGCCCCCAAAAAAGAGGAAAAAGTTTGAGAAATACATAGAGAAGTATTAAAAAATCATCCTTACTGTTAAAGCCCAAAGATCCTCTTTATTAGCATGACACTTTCAGAGCTAGCATGTTTTTTTATGCTACCTTGCTCAAGAGCAGAACTATTCTTTTGTCCTTTTTCTCTGAACAGATAAATTTGTTGCTAATTCAGTTACTCACTGTTAGGGGGTTTAGGAGAGAAAGCAAAAAGGAGGATAAAGTGGTTTCCACTGCAGGGCTCAGTGCTGCTCCTGTGGTGGAAATACAGCTCGTAAGTGGTCTTTGCTTTAGGGGAAGGTTCAGGGCAAAACAGCTGTTATTTTGCAGGTAACAAATTGTAATCTGCTCTCTCCTGAACTTGCTTTGTAGACTAATTTTGTTAGAACTGAAAGATGATCGTGGGTCCTTTGTTCAGAGATTACCCCAGTGAGTCCTAGACAGTGAAAATGACTTGCCCAAAGTCACAAGCTAGTGTAGTGGGGAAATTTATCAAGATACTAAATCATGTTGTTTTCACTGTATGTTCTTCCTCCACCAAGCCATTAGCCATACTTTTTAAACTCCCTTCCCATAAAGCTCAAAAGAATGGGAATCAAAGCTTTTGTTGGGACTGGAGGAGTGGCTCAGGTAGTACAGTACCTGCCTCGCAAACACAAGGCCCTGAGTTCAAACCCCAGTACTGCATAAAAATAAATACAGCTTGTCTTGTTTTTTATAAGAAAATTTGCAATGTGTCCCTGGTGAGATGGGAGGAGCTACTTTAGTCAAAAGAGGGACAGAAAGATGAGGGAGGAACCAGAAGGGGAGGATTTCCTACCTGAGGAAGGTCGATCTTGGCCAGATCTGAGGCAGGGAGAGAGCTTCTTGGGACTTGTTCCCTATTTAAACACTAACCAGGCAATTAACCCACCAACCGGAAAGAGCTAGTGCCACTTTTACTTGGCTAAAAGTTGATTTATCCAATGGGAACTTTTCCTTCACTGGTGGATTTTCTTTTTCTTTACAGTAAGAGGGAAGGAATTGCCCTTATTTGCTTCTTGTTTTTTTTTTTCTTTTTGGTGCACTGGGGTTTAAACTCAAGGCCCGTGCTTGAGCCATGCCCCCAGTCCTATTTGGTCTGTAATTATAAAATAATTTCACAGGAACAATTAAGAGATTGAGGAAAGTAAAAGGATGGGTTGACATACTATAGAATAATGGCAACTTGTAAACCCATAGTGAGTATCCCAGACGTGACAAGAAGCAAATGAATACACAGTGCTTGGGAAAAGGAGATTTTTGATCCCTGACAAATACTGTTGAAACCCTGAGAAAATAAAACTTACCTTCAGATAGGTAATCCTGACATGTTTGGCATCTTTCATGGAACTCGAAACATCCAGATAAATTCTGGCCAAGTTCCCTACATGGTTCTCTGCCTTGCTCAGATAGCATCTCTGAAGTCAGCCTCCCTGGTCCAAGTCTGCAGGAAATGCAACATTTACACATAAGTGTCCTTAGGGTTTACACTCTAAACACGTGGAGACAATATTATTGTTTTTAAAATCCTTTTCCTGTACTTAAATCAGAGTGTATGCTGATGCAACTATTTGCTAGGGCATTTTCACATCCATTAAAAACTGCACATACCCTTGAATCCAGGGATCTGGTTACTAGAAATTCATTATTAGCATACACATGCTAATGCATGCAATTTCATTTTCTAGAGAGAATGGTGAGGAGTTATTAATAGTAACTATCTTTTAGAAGAGGAATTTCATGCGGTATGAGAGGGTAGCTTTCATTTATTTTGTTCCTTTGCACATCTGGATTAAAAAATTTTAATTTGGCACAGGTAGTTCACACCTATAATCCTAGTGACTTGGGAGGCTGAGATCGAGAGGATCACAGTTTGAGGCCAGCCAAGGCAAATAACCAGAGCAAAACGGACTGGAAGTGTGGCTCTAGCAGTACAGTGCCTGCTTTGTAAGAGTGAAATCCTGAGTTCAGACCCCAGTCACACACAAACACACACACACACAAAAGAAAAAAAAAATTTTAAGGTTAGTGCCACTAGGGTTAAGTAATTAGGTGATTGTAAGCCACTTTCTTCTTTGGAATTCTGTTTTAAAGAACTGAATGAGAACCTTGAGTTTGATCATCACCATTGCCATAAAAATGCTTTAAAAATTATTTTAAAATTCTAAAGCGATAGTTGGGAAGTTCCCAGGAGTTCCAAAGATATTGGGAATGTCTTAAACTAGGTAGCAAGCATTTATTTTATGACAGGACTATTCTTTTTCACATTATATAGATATGCACAGACACAGTTATGAATACTGGGTTTAAGATTTAGGAAAATACCTAAAGTAGATCAAATTTGGAGAAACATTTTTTTTGGAGAATTAACAATGCATATAAAATCAATAAAATTAAAAAAAAAACACTAGATATAAGATAGTTCGGATCTTTTTTTATTTCCTCTTTCCTTTTAATGGTGTTCTTTATTCAGTTTCAGCTATTTTCCTAATTTGGGCTCCTCAGTTGATCTTGAGCACTAAGGCCTAACCGTGATGGCAGCCAGACCCACAATCCTCCTCTGTGTCATCGGCAGGCAGAATTAGATTTCTGTTGCTGCTATAACAGAGTGGCTTGAAACAGCACAAAGTCATTGTCCTACAGCTTTCTATATCTCAAGTCTCACGAGAGTCTCACTGGGCTAACATCCAGGAGTCAGCAGTTTGGCTCTTGTGGACTCTTTGGGGAGAAGCCATTTTTATACCATTTCCAGCTCCTCAAGGCCACCTGAATTCCTTGGCATATAGCCACTTCCTCGTCTCAAAGCCAACCTCGTAGGACTTTCTTTGCTGCCTCCTCCTACTAATGAGGATTCTTGTGATCATGCTGAATCCACCCTCACAATCCAGAATAACCTCCATATTTTCAAGTCAGAAGATTAGTAGCCTTAATGCCATATGTACCCTTACTTTGCCTTTGCAGATTGGCAGGTTCTGGGGACTAGAGAGAAGATATCTTTGGGCAGCCATCAATTCTGCCTATCACAAGAAGCAAAGCTAAAAATGTCTCCTCATTTGGCAGATTCTCTAGGGAAAATCAGCTTCTTCCTTACCAACCACCTGTCCAGAAGAGGGCTGGAAACCACACACAAACGCCCTACAGCCCCTGCCTGACTGTCCTTGATAAACAGTCCACATTTGCTCATCTCAGAAGAGAATGGCTCCTCTGCACTGCTGTGTGCTGTCTGCCTAAGTAAAGGCCACTGAAGAAAGAGGATAATAGTGTAATGCAGGCTTTTTTGTTAACTTTATTTATTTTGGTGGGACTGGGGTTTGAACTCAGGGCTTTGCACTTGCTAAGCAGATGCTGTACTGCCTGAGCCTCACCTGCAGTCCATTTTGCTCTGGTTATTTTGGAGATGGGGTGTCGCAAACTGTCTGGGCTGGCTGGCCTCAAACCATGATTCTCCTGATCTCAGCCTCCCAAGTAGTTAGAATTACAGGCGTGAGCCACCAGCACTTGGCTTGTTCTATTTTTAATATTTATTTTTATTGTTAATATTTACAGGGGACCCTGGATATGCAGGTTGTCACAGAGGTGGAGGTGTGTGTGTTGCATGACAGGGGCACATGAACCTGGTGAGAGTAGGGCTGCCCCAGGTGTGTGAGTGAGAAGGAACCTCAGACATTGTCAGTGAGGCGGAAGGAGCTGCCATGGTTGGGAAATTACAGAGCTTCATGTGGCCGAGTCACACCTAATCCTGTGCACATTTCAATGTAGCGACACATATGTGAGATTGCTGTTCTACAGGAGAGGAGGGGCGCCATTTTGATCTAATGACCACATTCTCAAAAGTATTCCCAGACAACTGATCTCTATGTAAGAGGTCAGGCGAAGGTTACCTGACACCAGCCCAGCACTGACAAATTTACTCTACTGTCCCCATGCTGCTCCTGAATAGTGGATGAGTTTAGAGCTTCAGTTTGGAATACCAGACAAAATATTTGACTTACAAGAAAAGTCCACCAGACCTTGAACTAGAACCTAACAACTCCAGTAACGATGGCTGATCTCTGCCCAGAGGACACCGGCACAGGAAGGATTTGTTTCCTGGATTTGGTTGAAAATGTGTAGGTCAGCTCTTCCTAGAGAGAAGTCAGTTATGCAACATCCTATCTGTTTTGACAATCTCGTTCACATGTTGCCACCGCAACCAATAAGTAGAAAAGTCAGCTAGAAGGAGACCATTTTCGTTTTCATTTCGGAGGGGAGAAGCTTTTGTTTGGGTCTTTTGGTCAATAAGAGGTAAGTCCAAGGAGAGACAGAGCCTCCGTTTGGCCAGCACAGCAACTCTGATTCTTTTCTTTTGCAGTGCTGAGGTTTGAACTCAGGACCTACACCTTGAGCCACTCCACCAGCCCTTTTTTCTGAAGGGTTGTTTCAAGATAGGGTCTCCAGAACCATTTCCTCAGGTTGCCTTTGAACTGCAATCCTCCTGATCTCTGCCTCCTGAGTAGCTAGGATTATAGGTGTGAGCCACCAGCACCCGACTTCTGAAATGTGTTCAAGTTACTCCACAGAAGCCAGAAGATATCCCCTCCCCTAAAACATAAAGCAAGTTGGACTGGGGAATGGATCAGGTGGTAGAGCACCTGCCTAGCAAGCATGAGGCCCTGACTTTAAAGTCCACTACTGCCAAAAAAAACCATAAAGCAGGCCAGGTGTGGTGATACATGCCTGTAATCCCAGCTACTCCAGAGGTGGTGATCTGGAGGATTAAGATTTGAGGCCAGCCCAGGCAAAAAGTAAGTGAGATCCTGTCTTGACAAACAAGCCAGGCATGGTGGTATGCATTTGTAACCCAGCTATGTGGGAAGCATAGGTAGAAGGACTGTGGTAGAGACCAGCCCTGGAGACCCTATCTTAAAAAATAACTAAAGCAGAAAGGGCTGGGGGTAAGTCTCAAATGGTACAGTGTTTGCTTAGCAAGCAGGAGGTGCTACTTCCACGTCCCTTCCCCCTGTAAAAAACCCCATAAAGTATCATTGTCCAACATTCAGTCTTATAGGATATTAGTATTGGCAGAAGGCAATTCTTAGCTAGTTTCTATTTCTGTAGTTTGGGTTTTGACTAGGAGTGTTTACTGTGGCATACGTTTTATGACATAGGGCATTACAGTAGTGACTCAGAGGAAGTCAATTTGACTGGTTATGTATGAGACCGGGTTTTTTTTGCAAAGTGGGTGGTGAGGACCCCGGTCTGACTTTAAAGAAACTCGAGGGTGTCCAGGCAGAATAGAGCTGACCCTCTATTTAAGAACTTCGATAAGGGAGGAGCTTGAAACAGCTTGAAAGTTCTCCCCCATTAACATTCTTTCAGCTTTGAAATTCACTCGAACAAGAGGGAACAGCCCTGGAGTTTGCAACAATGATGGGACATGGTGGTGTTTGGCAGAGCTCCTTTTAAAAGGCTCTGGAACTTTCTTTTTAATCTTTTTTTTTTTGGTGGTACTGGGGTTTGATCTCAGGGCTTTGCACTTGCTAGGCAGGCACACTACTGCTTGAGCCAATTTTGCTCTGGTTTTTTGGAGATAGGTCTTGCTTTTTGCCCAGGCTAGCCTGGACTGCAATCCTACTATTTTAAGCTTCCCTCTGTTGCTGGGATGACAGGCATTCATCACCATGTCCAGCTTTTTTCTGTTGAGAGGGGTCTTGTGAACTTTTTGCACAGGGTGACCTTGAACCAGGATCCTCCTGATCTCAGTAGTCTCCCAAGCAGCTAGGATGACAGATGTGAGCCTGGCATCTGGCTTTGGAAACTTTGATTATCCATAAATCGTCACTTCAAGAAATGCTACATAGTAACTCAGAAATGTCTACCAGTTCTGAAGCTAAACAAAACTTGACTTTAGACATCTAAATAAGCATAATCTTTCAATACTGGCCTTTGTCCTGTTTTGGCGAATCCTCCATGACATTCAGTGTCTGGGTAATTGTCTTGCTGACTCTTTCATAAACAGAGAGACTGAAACTACAAAACAGCTGGAAGAAGTTGGGGGTGTCCCACCTTTGCCCAAGATCTGCTTTTTCAGTTGGCTCTTTGGGTAAAGCTGGAAAAACAGAAGACTCCATGAAGTCTGTGTCTGACAAGAAGTATGACTGAAAAGCCTGGTCGAATCCCTGCTGCATTTGTTTGAAGATGTGGAAGCTCCTGTTGAAGATGGTTTGCACATCTGTGGTCAGCTGGCTGAACACAGTCTCCATGTGGGTCACTTGCGTGTCTTCCTCTGTGAGCCTGAGCCTGTCACTGTCACTCTCGGGGAGATCGTGTTGTTTGTCTTCATGGAGAGGGAACAGAAATAGGTACATCTTCCTTAAAAACTGCTCAATCTGGGGGAAGGGTGGGAGGATGTCAGTGGAGGACAGAAAAGGAATAAACAGTTATTTTCTTTTTGGACCGTATCTTATTGTGACTTTTAAAGTTAACTTCTAATAGTTATTTCCAATGATGGGCAAACTAGGAAAAGGTGATTGATTCACTTTAAGATAATGTATTAACACCTGACTTTGACCATGGAATTAGTGTTCAAAGTTCCTCCTGGTTTAGGTTTGCCTGGTGATGGCCTAAAAAGGCCAAGTTTTCAATATGGTTGACAAACTATAGCCTGGTAATAGTTGTCATGCCTTGTCCATAGGGCACCATGAGAATTGCCTGGAAATCCTGAGGCAGGCTTTTGTCTTTCACCCCTGTCTTAGTTCTGTCATCATCATCATCATTATTACTACTATTATTATTTACTGGAATGTCTTTATATTTTCTTCTTTCTCATTTCACAAATTAGGCCATAGGAATGAACAGAATAACACATCTACACTGAAGTATAGATGCTAGATACAGCTTAATAGGTAATCTAGAGATGGTTACATATCAGCGGTGATCAAAGCCCTCCTGTTTTACTCAAAGGAATGAAGCTCTAGGTTTTGTTTCTTTTTGGTTTTTTTTTCTGGTACTGGGGTTTGAACTCAAGGCCTATACCTTGAGTCACTGCACCAGCCCTTTTTCATGATGAGTTTTTTCAAAATATGGTCTCATGAACTATTTGCCTGGCTGGCTTCAAACCGCGATCCCCCTTATCTCTCTGCCTCTGAGTAACTAGGATTATAGGCGTGAGCCACCAGTGCCTGGCTAGTTGTAGAATTTTGAGTACCATTCAGTGGGAGGCTATTTTCCAGTTCTCACACCACACTTTTCTTCCCTTATGTGACACTAAGTCTGAGAGACAATAGTTGCCCTTTTATCTAGTGATAGTGTGTTGATTTACCGAGCGTTATCAGCTAGTGCATATTAATACTGCAGCATCATCCCTGTGCTGTGCAAAGAATTCTGCAGGAACTTGGGACTTTCTCAGCAAGTAATCTGGCCGATTGCTTGCCTGCCTGTCCCTCTGCCACCTTCTGCTTGAGCCCCTCCACCTAAGCAAAATTTGAATGCTAGGCACATGCTTACAGTCCCTCGAGGTGGGGTAAAAGGATCATGTGAGGCCTGGAGTCTGAGACCAATCTGTGCAACAGAGTGAGACCCCAACACACACAAAAAATGTATGTATTAAAATCTCAAGAAATGTTCATATGGTCACAAAGCTGGCCCAGATGGGATGGCCCCCAAGTCTCCTGATTTTTGTGCTCATCCCACCATATTTTGCTATATTAGAGGGGACCGTGGCTCTGAAAAGAGAGCAGCTGCAATTAACAGTGGAGGCAAATTAACTCAAGACATTCATTAGCCCACAGACTGTGCCTTTGTCACTGAATGTGGCACTGCCTAGCCGGGAGCATCCTCTAATTAGTGCGAGCTCTGATGTTGAGAGTGAAATTCCACTTCATTTCATATTCAGCTCACTTCTTGAAGGGGGAGGAACATCCAATTGGAGCTTTTAATGGGGCAGAGCTTGTCCTATTCAGGTCACCACCCTCTGTGATTCCCTCTGCCCAGAAGATATCGAAGGGGAATGGAAAAGAAAGTGTGTTAGTCCTACAGGACACCCATGGATAGGATAGGAGGAGACATGAAGCTGTGTGTGTGTGTGCACATGTGTGTGCATGCTACACATAAGAGGGCAAGTGGACCAATGGAAAGATGCAGGGGGCAGAGAATGTCTTCACATGTGTGGTCTCCAGGGGAAAAGCTAAAGCAGACTGAAATCAGAGACTGGAATACTATGATTGAGGATGCAATTCAACAAACATTTATTGGATGTCTACAAGGTTCAAATAAAGACAAATAAGATATGATCCCTGACCTGAAAGAGTGCACAATCTAGTGGGAACATATTCACGAATAACAAATACAAGGCAGAAAGAGTCAGGGTACTCTTAAGAGAGATACATTCAATGTTATTTAAAAAAAAAAAAAGGGATAGAGCTAGAGATCTAGCTCAAGTGATAGAAGCCTGGTAAGCAAGTGTGAAGCCCTGAGTTCAAACCCCAGTACAGAAAGAAGGGGGGCGGGAAATAAATAGTGAATGGATGTTCTAACTTACAAATTGTCATACACAGGGAGTGGTACATAAGCATCAGTGTTAGCTGCAATATCAGATCAATATCTCTATGCTAAATATTAAATAAATTAATGAAAACCAAGCTGACTTAGATACCTTAAGAACTCTGAAATTCTCAGCTCTCTTTTCTACTTACCATATTTTTCACAGAGGACCAACCAGGTTGGCAGGTTGCATAAAATCTCCTGCAGTTGCCCTCCAGGCAAGACCTGCACCCATCCCAGGATTCAGCCAAAGATACCTGGCATAACCTTTCTTCTTCTTCCAGATGTCCTTGAATTTCATTCATAAGTTTCAGGGCCTCCTAATTTAAAAATAGAAACAAAAGTCCTATTTGCATTCCATAATACAAGGTGCACCTTGATTTCATTCTTTAAAAAAAAAAGTGTATATTCTAGGGCTGGTGGAGTGGCTCAAGCTGTAAGAGTGCCTGTCTAGCAAGTATGAGGTCCTGAGTTCAAACCCCAGTGCCACCAAACACAAAACAAAACAAAAAATAATTTTAAAAAGTGCATATTTTAGCCAGGTGTCTGTGGCTCAACCCTGATTAATCCTAGCTACTTGGGAAGCCGATATCAGGAGAATTGAGATTCAAGGGCAAATAGTTTGCTAGGCTCCATCTCCAAAAATAACCAAAGCAAAATGGACTGGAGGCGTGGCTTAAGTGGTAGAATGCCTGCTTTGCAAGCATAAAGCCTTGAGTTAAAACCCCAGTGCATCAAAAAGTGCATATCTAAAACACTTCTTCAGTCTTACTCTTTCAGGCTCCTGGCATTTTCTGTTTGATGGAGAAAAGGCTACTGATTGATTGATCCCTATTTAAGACTGTAAATTGTATTCATCTATTCATTTGTTTGACAAATATTTGCTATGTGAGGGACATTGTGCTAGAAGTGACTGGCCCAATAACAAAAATGTCCTCCCTATCTGGGGGAACCACCATGATTGGCCTGTATACTTGCCTGCTTGCATGACTAGTATATGGAAGGTATATTTTACTTCTTTTAAAAAATATATTACTTTATTTTTTAAATTAGCATACATTGATTTGTTTCACTTGTTTTACTAATGCTGCTTTTAATTGTTGTATGTTCCTAAACACTGCAAGAAAGTCCAATTTTGTATGTCATGGAGGAGTCATATTCTAATAATAGCGGAGATGCTGTCTGGAGCATCTCCATTCTTGTCTGTAGCATCTCCATTCTTGTCTGTATTGCAAGCACGCCCCCTTGTGGTGCTGGCTGTACTTGCCCAGCTCCTGCTCTGGTAAGGAGCTCAGCAGCACTGGCATCTGTCCCTGAGAGCTTCAGCCCTGCCCCTAGAGGTCCCCAGAAGACTGGAACTGTGCTACTGCCTAGATCCCTGACCTCCCTGCTACTTTGGACTTCTAAGAGTGGCCCCTCCACACCTGAGATGAAGGTCAGAGCTATAAGGAACTGTACAGGACCTCAGAGCTAAAGGCTTATGGGAGAAAAGTTTCTGTACTTAAAATTAATGTGTTGTGCTTTTTTTTTTTTTTCCTTTGAGACCAGAGTCTTCAGTCTTGCTATGTAGCTCAGACTGGCCTTGAACTTGAGATCCTCCTGCCTTAGTCTCCTGAGTGCTGGGAATTACAGCCATTTGTGTGCGTCTTTTACCCAGTGGAAAAGAAAAAGAAATCACCCTTTGCTGCCTTATGAACCCAAAGACTCTCCCTGGCTCTGATGCTCTTCCACCTCTCTGCCTGCCATGGAGTTTTCAGCTGTCCTCCTTGCAGAGTTCTGGTGCTCAGCCAGGGACATTTGCTGCAACCCACAGAAGAAAACAGAGGGACCCCAGCCTGCCAAATGCATATGGTGACCCAGATAGGATTTATGCGGCTGTATGCCTGTATGTCCTTGGGCTTTGCAGAACAAGATTGAAATGTTATATCTTCTTAAGAATGGTCATGTCACCTGCCAGGCAACAAAGTCCCCCTGGGCTTTCTCAGTCAGTTCCAACATCCACCCTGACATTCCCAGTTCTGAACTGCATTCGTTGTGTGCTCTTGGACAAATTATCTAAGGCTCAGTCTCCTTATTTGCAAATCAGAATAACAAGAGCTACCTCTTCTGTGAGATAAAGAAGCAAAGCCCTTAGCATGTTATTATAATTAGAACTCCAGGCTTTCTTCCTCTCACCCCTAAGAAGCATAATAAAGACCACTGACCCATGGTTTGGAAGTGAATTGTTGCCATGGATAAAGTGATCTTGGGTTTAGGAATATCTTGTCCACTCCTTCCACCTCCCTAAATATTCTACCCGCGATAGAGTCCCACTTAGAAATCTGTCCCTAGAGTTCACAGCTCATCAAAGCGTATCATGGGGACAAATCACTTTAAGTTCACTAGGGTTTCCTACTTTGGTAAATGAAAGTTTCAGATGCTCTTGGTAAATATGTATGGGGTGGGGGAGAGGAGGTGACCTGAGGATGGTGGTGCTTTGTACTGGGAGACTGGGCATACCAACCCCACATTTGCCAATTCATAATCTGTCTGAACTAACCTCTATTCTGGGTTTAAAGTAATTTTAGGGAAGGGGACTCAAGGTTTAAAAATTTTCCCAATTAACTTTTCTTTTTTTTCGGGGTTTGAACTCAGGTCCTATACCTTGAGCCACTCCACCAGCCCTTTTTTATGATGGCTTTTTTTGGAGATAGGATCTTGCAAGCTATTTCTCAGGGCTGGTTTAGAACCTCAATCCTCCTGATCTCTATCTCCTGAGTAGCTGGAATTACAGGCGTGCGCCCGCCCCAATTAACTTTTTAATTGAGTGCTCAAACAAGAGTCTAATATGCTGGGGCCTGACTGCAGTGGTAGAGTGCCTGCCACGCCGACACAAGGCCCTTAGTTCAAATCTCAGTACTGAAAAAAAAGTATAATGCAATGAATTTTTACATAATAATAGTTTTTTAAGAACAAACAAATATTCTAATTGCTGAAATTCTTCAGGATCAGAAGTGAAACCAATATTTGCTTTCTTGATCCTCCCCCTCACTAGAGTATTCTTTTCCCAGCACTACACCTCTGGCTCCTCACAAGGCTGCAGAAAGTGAGAAAAACCAAGTCACCAGGTCCCACGTGCACAGCTGCTGACTTTTTCCTGGTTTGTTCATTCATTCCACGGTTGGAGTAATGTGTTCATTAACAGCTCCAACCTCAGTTGCCTTAGCTGTAAAATGAAAGGGCACTTGACCTAGATGTTTGAAGTATTCCATGTGATCATGTGTTTTGTATCAATGACATGTGTTGTCACTATTCCCAGACAGCCAGTCTCACAAGCCCGCCAGGGAAGAGCCCAGCTTGTGGGGGTGGGGGGTTCCATGTTGTCCGGATGAGGAGCTATTTTAGATTTCCTCAAAATCTTTTGATTGCTGCCAAAAGGGAGGAAAGTTTGCAGCTGCTGGTCAGGCAGTGTCCTTTCCTTGCCAGGAACCCTGCCTGACTTTGGACAGTAGGTGTGGCTGCAGCATCAACCCCCCTGGTGACAGGCTGACATGGGAGCTTCAGGGTCAGTCTGTCAGACCCTGCCCCAGCTGCTTAATGGACTCCCAAAAGCCATGAATCTGTGAAGTGAGGGGATTCCAGCAGCTGTCTGGAATCACTGATTCCCAACTTTGTTAAGTATACAGGAATATAGGTAAATAGATAGGAAGCATTAGAACTCCACTTGTATTCTTTAATTAAAAAACTGACAAGGGGAGATTCCATCCTCAGCACCACCAAAATATTTTTAAAAATTGACAGAGGGAGGGGAAATAGGGCATTGTTTAATAGGCATGGATTTTCAGTTTTTGCAAAATTGAAAGAATTCTGGGGATTGGTTGCACAACAATCTGTACCTATTTAATCCAACTAAACGGTATGCTCTAAAATGGCTAAGATGAGCTGGGTGTGGTGGCTCATGCATGTGATTCCAGCTATTCCAGAGGGGGAGGCAGGGCGATCATGAGTTTCAGACCAGCCCCAGGAAAAGTTAGCAAGAACCTATCTCAAAAACAAATTAAAAGCAAAAAAAGATCTGGGGACCTAGCTCAAGTGGTATAGTGCTTACCTAGCAAGCACTAGGCCCGGAGTTCAATCTCCAGTACCACACAAAAAAGGAAAAAAAAATAATATTAAAACTATGAATAATTAAAGCTCAAGTGGTCAAGAAGTACACAACATGTGACCGAGATGATAGTTCTTCATCGTGAGCTCTTTAGTGGCCATGTAACAAGTCAAAACTGAAGACCTAATCAGATCTGGCAAATCAGCTAAAAAAAAAAAAATCAAAATACTTAGATTATTTGAAATATGGAGTTAATGATGAATCCCACCCTAAATGTATATTGTGCCTTGAGATACTACTGTGAGCAATTCATGTATCTAATTTGTGAATGAATTGATGTGCATATGTTTAGGAGTGAGTGCTAACTTTTTTTTAGTAATAGGAATGGAAGATCAAAAACTTTGGAGTCCACTGATCTAGCCAAAAACTCCCCAAACACTCTTGACTTGATATCTAAACTGAGAAGAGACAAAAAATAAAGGACTTTTGAGAAAGCAACACTTCTCTAACAAGAATAAACCCCTAATTCTTGTGCTTGGAATCCTGCAGAGGCCTGTTCTACAAAGAATATGTTCTTGAAGGAAATTTGAAGTTCCCTTCAAACTTTTCTCCAAAAAAACCTGCTCTCCAGAAAATGTATTATTAAGGAAAACAAGTAACCCATCAATTGCACCAAGTGCAATAGTTAAAGTCCGGATATGTCTAAGGACAGGTGTAATTTTCAATTGCTGTACCTGCTTTTCTTCTTTGCATTTCCTCAAGGTTTTCATGAGTTTAGTGTGCTCGTTCTCTCTTCTTTCCATCATGATTTTCATCTGCCTAATACCAAGCAAAGCTGCCTTCACCTCTCCATCCACATCTAGCTCCCCCGCCTCCGGAAAACCTAAGAGACAGTTGCAGTTCTTTTATCTGATCAGATTACAAAACAGAGTTCACTAATCTTTCCTGCCCCCTAAATAGAAGTTTAATTGTTCTTTTGTGAATTAGCTGTCAGCTGTCACAGGGATCCAGCTGCCACATGGCTACCTTCTGTCCCTCACTGGGAGCTCCTGAACAAATCAGAGCTCATTGTGCTTCATTCTTGTCATTTTCCTCAGGCCTTGTTTTCATTTATTCTTCTTTCATTGAAGACTCAAGTATGTTTATGTTAGAGAAAACTTTGAATTTTCTTCAAAAACAGTTTATATGAAATGCTCATCTGAGGTCTTCAAACACAGTGAACAATTTCCCCCTTTTCAGCTTTAATTACCTTCTAAAAAAAGTTATCAAACCAAGAAAGGATCTCATATACTACAAGTTTCCTTAATAACCTAAGACATCTCTTTCATTCCTTCAATAAACCCTGAGTGGGTATAAAATTCACTCTCCTGCTCTCTTTGCAGTAGCCAGTATGGCCTCCTGAGAGCTTATTTTACTCTGAATTTAATTATAGTCTCCAAATCAACTCCATTTGAGCTAATTTACTCTTCTAAGGGTTAAGTACCCAAAACCTGTATCACCAAACTAAGGTCACAGGTTAAGGAGCAACAAAACAACCAGATTCAATGCAATTATAACTCACTCCTCGACTAGTTTAAGAACAATTACACAGATTACGCTAATGGTTTAAATTTTTTAAATGCTAGAAAAGTATTTCGCTGTTCATTAAAGTAGTGCTGAGATGACACCAAACATCTGGAGAAGACCCAAAAAATGCAGCCAAAATGTTGGCAGGTTTTATCTACCCGATAGCAAGCATCTGGATGTTTGAATGCTTGCTGGCAGAGACTTGCTTAGCATTTTCTATTTTAATCCAAATGTTCAGCATCATGATGACTTCCTGTAAATGCCTGGAGAACTTTTCAAGGTGAAATGTAGTGAATACGGTTATCTCTCAACTGTAAGTCACCATAAATGCTAGCAGGACCCAACAACATGCAAGCAGGACACAGCAGAGATAAGAAGGCAAACATACTCTTCAGGTTTCCACCGATAGAAGTTTTGTCCTTCCAAGTAGGTGCACAGTGACAATCCCTCAACCATAGCAGACATGCAATAAACACCAAGAATGCCAGCTTCATGTTCCCGCTGTTTCTGCAGAGGAAAAATAAACCCACGCCAAGTGCCTTCCGTTAGCTTTGTTTCTGTCACATCAATTGAAGCCACATGGTGCTCCCAAGATCTTTTCTGTCCATCTTTCTTTATGACTTTAGACACTGTGTTAATAAGCCTGAGACATAAGGAAGCTTAAAATATGCGTTAAAAAAAAACCCAAACAAACCTGAAACTCTATTTAGTTTACATTCTTCATGACAGTTATAAGGGTCCTCATCTGAAGTACTTGAAGCCAAGATCATGAATGTATGGACCAGATAGTCAGAATGTCTTCTTCTTTTTTTTTTTTTAACTGGACTTTGAACTCAGGACCTACACCTTGAGCCACTCCACCAGCTCTTTTTTTGTGCTGGGTCTCGAAAACTATCTGCCGGGGCTGGCTTCGAACAGCAATCTTCCTGATCTCTGCCTCCTGTGTAGCTAGGATTACAGGCGTAAACCACCAGCACCAGGCCAGAGAGTCACTTTATTTCCTTGTCAACAGTAAACATCTCTAATGACAGAATGAATTAGAGTATGTCAGAGAGATTTTTTTTCCTTCAAAATTCTGAGTCCTCAAGCAAGTTTTTACCATGCTACTTTGCTATTTTTTTTAATGAAAGCGAAAACACTCTCACGCATTTTTCTCAGATTTCTTATAAAACTTATTGTGCTATGTGAATACTGCAGTTTTTTCTTCTCAGATAATGAATTTCCTTTCAAATTTAATTTGATATACATTAGTAATGAGTATTCCAGGTATTTAAAATTTCACTAATAGCCTGGCCCAAAAGACCAAAAATCGTATGTTCTCCCTCATATGTGGACATTGGATCAAGGGTAAACACAACAATGGGATTGGACTATGAGCACATGATAAAAGCGAGAGCACACAAGGGAGGGGTGAGGATAGGTAAGACACCTAAAAAACTAGCTAGCATTTGTTGCCCTTAATGCAGAGAAACTAAAGCAGATACCTTAAAAGCAACTGAGGCCAATAGGAAAAGGGGAACAGGTACTAGAGAAAAGGTTAGATCAAAAAGAATTAACCTAGAAGGTAACACCCACGCACAGGAAATCAATGTGAGTCAATGCCCTGTATAGCTATCCTTATCTCAACCAGCAAAAACCCTTGTCCCTTCCTGTTATTGCTTATACTCTCTCTACAACAAAATTAGAAATAAGAGCAAAATAGTTTCTGCTGGGTATTGGGGGGGGAGAGGGAGGGGGTGGAGTGGGTGGTAAGGGAGGGGGTGGGGGCAGGGGGGAGAAATGACCCAAGCCTTGTATGCACATATGAATAATAAAAGAAAAAAATAATAAAAAAAAAATAAAATTTCACTAAAACAAGATAAAAGAACTATATGCTTTAATAAAGTTAAACCTGTAAAATAAGTTGAGTATCTTAATTTCCTTGAAAGGAGTATTTATCTACTTTATGAATATTTGCTCTATTAAAAAAGCAAAAACTCCATATTTAATCAACATTTGTGATGTCTTTAATACAGTATTACTAGTAGCTAAATAGTTACCACATTTTGCATGTCATTTGAACTTTTTCTTCCTTTATTTTTTTTTTTTGTGGTTCTGGAGATTGAACCCAGGACCTCATGAGTGCTAGCAAGTGCTCTACTTGAATTTAACTCTTCCAAACCCTCTTTGTATTAATACCCTGCTTACCAAATGAAACTTTCAATATGGTGTATTTACCACTAGCTTTGCAGTATCTCTCTTCAGAGAAGTTGCCACCAGCTTCTGGAAAGGACCCTCACTTTTCTCTGACTTAATTTTCATCTGTGCCAGGGATTTGGCCTTGTTCTATTAATTTGATGACACAGTTCTTAATCCTATTAAACCGGTATCTAGAGATTAAGAACATGGTTTAAAATTTGGTAGCACTTAAAAAGAAACACAAGAGGGCGAGCTGGGCACACCACCAGGAGCAGTGACCTTGGCCTACTTTAGTTTACTCAAATGTTTTGATAAGACTCAAGACTTTTAATTTTTTTATTTGAAATTTATATCATGTATATTCTCATGCAGGCAAAACAAATCTCTTAGATTGGAAATAGAAACAACACTGTAAAAGCAGTCGTTTGACATTTTTGACTATAATAAGTGATAAGTTATATAGTGATAAAGTCACTTTTAACTACGTAAGTGACAAAACCTAGTGTGTAAATAATGCAAATGATAAGTATTTCAGGCTCACTACGATTTGCTAATTGGTTAGTTGAACTGAAAACACAGCTCCTAATAATTATTTGAAAACAGCTTAGAGAGCTGTGAGTCACATGGCCAACTCTAGAATCTACAGTGATGATCTCTTTGGCTAATGAAATTGCAAGATCATTTTAGATCCTTTTGAAAGTTTGAGACCAGCCAATCCATACTTATTATGTGCTTAGTACTTTTTTAAGGGGAAATTTTTGACAGTTCTGAACAGGTCCACTTGCCACTTGGGGGCCCTTAGAAGTTGATCCTGTCTCTGGGCACTATGTAGTCTGGAGTTGATCTCTGCTCTGCTTGGGCACAGGGAGCAATTATAAAACACACACCCCAAGGTCAACTCACTCCATTTCAACTGTCTTGATTACCCACTAATTCTCAATTTTAGCTGGAAGCCTCTTAGCTCTGTTGGAAAATAGATCAACACAAAAAACCTTGAACAGTCATTATTATTTTAAAATAGCCTAATGTCACTTTTGAGCAAGTACAATCTACACTGATAAACAGACATGTCCTATCCGGAGAGATGACTCGTTGGCCAACTGAAGAAGTAGTGTGTTGGGTCTTTTACTCAGGAAGAGAAGAACACCGTCCTAGAAAAGTTGATTGTTGGAAACCGTCCAGCTCTCCTCTGACTCTATTCACCCCTGCTCATTAGTTTGCTGCTGCCCACGTTCAGGGCCATTCAAAGTCATGGCTGGCATCTGCACATTGCTTTTCAACAAACCCAGATTTTATTGAAAATGTAACATTACTCAGGAAATCCTGTGGCTCACCCTCTAGCAGATTTTTTTCTTCCATCCATGTTCCCTCTTCATGTGTAATTTCTGAGAACCGAATTTCATTGCTAACTAGTACTAATTACTTTTAAATTATCTCCAAGTTTCCTCCTCTGATTACTTCATCTGTTTTCACAGCTGCCATTTTATTCTTAAGATTAAGCAATACTTCCTTCGAATGTGGTTATTTTCATAATTATGACATCATTAGACCCAAGACTTAAGTGGATTATACGATATTTTCAATAGCTAGTTGTAATTAAGGAGACCTAGAAACAAGGTCATCTTCATTAAGAAAGATAATAAGAGAATGCATGTGGTATCTACTGAGAAACAGTCTCACAGACAGACTTCGACATGTTAACTTATTATCACTAAATTCAGGCTTGGGCAGAACTGTGATCATAATGTTATATGTCATCTCTCATTCTTCCTCCCCGCTCTCCCTTTGCTCTTGATAGAAACGACCCATGGTGTAGTACAAAGATCACCGATTTAAGAAATCAAACTCTGTCAAAATTCCTGCCACATGGCTGTCTCGTGATCCTGAGTACCTTGGGCTTCACAGTAAGAGTGCCATGAGACACAGCCTCAAATTTTGCTCCCAACTCTCAGGTCCTGTGATGGCTATGCATTTACCCTCGCCAAGCTTTGGCATAGTTGGAGCATAGTAAGTGAAGGAGATCTGTTAAAGGGAAAATTACTGCAACCTTATCTTTCCTATAGAGTTGTTGAGCAGGTCAAATTAGTTAATACAATTACAACAATTTTTTGGATGTACTGGGGTTTGAGTTCAGGGCTTGTGCATGGTAGGCAGTCACTGTACACTTGAGCACTTGAGCCATCCCTCTCCCCGACCCTGGCCCTTTTAAGAATTTAGCTTCTTTTGTGTGTGTGTAGTACTGAAATTTGAACCCAGGGACTCACACTTGCTAGGCAAATGCTCTACCACTTGAGCCATCCCCCTAGCCTCAAAATGTTTTATTCACCCATAAAGTACTATGTAAATGGAAGGTAGACCAATAATCTTTTTGAAAAATTCAGATTAGGGCTGAAGGTGTGGCTCAAGCAGTAAAGCACCTGTCTAGCATGCTTGAAGCCCTGAGCTCAAACACTGATAATGCAAAAAAAAAAAAAAATCAGATTAAATTTAGGCTCATATAACATGAGTAGCAAAAGTAGACCCTGACTCCAGACTTCAAAATTTTTTATGAAAATAATTCAAGTTTGAGTACAATATGAGGAAATTATATTTCTAGTACTATACAAATTTAATTATTGATCAGGATAAATATCAAGTATATTTTAATTTTTCTACTAGAGCCAACATAGGGCTTTTCTTGCTTCCATGGAGTTTAGCTCAAGGAATAGTTTACTTAGCAGGTGTGTTTGTTTAGTTTACTTGGCATCTATGATGCTCCACACCTTGAGGACACAATGGTCTCTGCTCTCTATATGGTTGCAGTTCATCCCAATAAATAAATACACAAGCAAGAAGGTATCAGAGAATGGAGCTGTCACAAAGAAAATAAAATGGGAGTCATGTGATAGCAATTTACAAAGGGAGGGGCTACATTAAGATGGGGGATCAAGGAAGGTTTTTATGGTGAGGGCCCTCCTGGCATGAGCCCTGAAAGCAGAACCCACTACATAATCTATAGGACCCAGCACAAAATGGAAATGTGATCCTGTGTTCAAAAACTGTTAAGAATTTCAAGATGGCAACAGCATGGCATAAGTGCAGGTGCGGGGGGCCGGTGCATAAAGGTGGCCTTACCTGAAAGATAAGAACAGGGGCCTCTGCCAAGAACTGAGGAGGAGAAATCCTTGCAGACAGAAGGGTACTTGTGAAGGTGGGGACACAACTTGGGACCAACTCTGGAACAAAACAGCCCAGTGTTCAGAGTGCAATGAAAGAAGAACACTACTAGGTGAAGAGGCAGGAAAGTACAGACCCAACAGGAAAGCGGGATGGGAAGTTAGAA